CGCGGCCTTTCAGCTTCTGGAGCTTGGGTTTAGGGTTTAGGGTTTAGGGTTTAGGATTTAGGGTTGAGGGTTGAGGGTTGAGGGTTTAGGGTTTGGGGCTTGGGGGGGCTTAGGGTTGTGGGGTTTTGGGGGGTGAAGTTGTGGGATCTGGCCTGAGGGAGGGGTGGAGTGCACAGTTTGAAGGGTCTGGGACTCAAGCCCTGAACTGTACAAGCACGAAACAGTAATCGCACTCTAAGAAACCCTAAACCCTAAACCTTAAACCCTAAACCCTAAATCCTAAACCCCAAACCCTAAACCCTAAACTTGGTTTGTTAAGCCCCAAGCTGTATATAAACTTGACCATGCCCCTGGGCTCAGGGAGCTTCAGTAGTAGATCTGCAACAACTAGGACTAGGAGATTCCAAGCCCCAAGCCCCCAACCCTACAACCCCAGACGCCAAACCCCAGACCAACAAACCCCAAGACCCTCAACCCTAAACCCCAAACCCCTAAGCCCGGACCCCCCCTAAACCCTAAACCCTAAACCGCCAAACCCCCCAACAGCCTCCTTTCGGCGCCCCGGGCTGGGTCGGGTCACCACGTTCACAAGCGTCTCGATCTCCATCATGGACTCCTGCTTTCAAGGCTCAAGACCACTTAGGGGGGGTTAGGGTTCATAGGGTTCAGGGTTTAGGGTTTAGGATTTAGGATTTTAGGGTTTGGGATTTAGGATTATAGGGTTTAGGGAAAATAGGGTTTATAGGGCATGATAGGGGTTCATAGGGTTTACAGGGTGTATAGGGCTTATGGGGCTTGAAGGGTTTTTTTTGGGCTTATAGGGTTTATGGGGTTTGTAGGATTGATAGGATTTAGGGTTTAGAGTGTAGGATTTGGGGTCTGAATCTAGGGTGGAGCCCAAAAAGTACCTCCCTGCAAGGGGAAGACCGAAAAGGGGTTAAAGGTTCCCTGGCTCGGGGGTCAAAAGTTGCGGAGGGCGCAGGCTTGGTGTCGAGACATGCACATCCTCTCTTTAAACCGGCCATCCGAATCACGTTCGCCCTCAAACCCTAAACCCTTAAGCCCTAAACCCTACACCCCTCAACCTACCCCTAAACCCTAAACCCCTGACCCCTCAGACCCTAAATCCTAAAGATCTAGCCCCGAAACCCTCAATCTTGGGTCTGGAAACGCCTTCAAAACCGGAAAGGCCCAACCCTACATCAGACCCAACAGCCCCAACATCTGTTTCCTGGTGGTAGGCTGCCAGAGATTCCAGGGTCGATATCTTCAGGGCATCAACGAGCCGTTTAACCTGCTGCCCGTTCTTGTCGATGTCCTCCAGGAGGGTTTAAGCAGTAAGCTGCGGGCTTGGGACTCAAGGGTGTAGGGTTTCGCGTTTAGGGTTTAGCCTTTAGGGTTGAGTCAAGGGGGGGGATTGTGCGATTTAGGCTTTTAGGATTTGGATGTCGTGAGCTTGGGGCTTCGCACAATTGCGGGCTCAGGGGCCCCGATGTAGGCTTGGTTGAATGCGCTCTATACACTTGGGCCTTGAAGGTGCTCCTAGCTACCCTGAACCCTACTAAACCCTAAAAAACCCTAAACCCTAAACCCTATTCCCTAAACCCTAAACCCTAAACCCTATATCTGCACACTAGTTCTGAGCCCGAGAATATACTTCATGGAGTGCGCAGCTGAGCTCCGGGAGCATAGGTAGGTTACAAGTCGGGTTGCCCGAAGTTGGGGCCCGCTCTCGGACTTCGGCCCTTCGAAGCAGAGTCGTTGAGCCCTAACACCCCTAAAGCCCCCAATCCTGAGCCCCCACTCTGCTTCCGGGGACTAGGAGACCGGCTCCGGGCCGGAGGAACTTTCATGGTAGGCTTCCGACATTGACAGCTCTTTTTGGGCATTTAGGTTTCTTAACGTTAAAAAACCCTAAATCCGACATTAACAGCTCTTTTTGGGCATTAGGGTTCAGGGCTGAAGATCAGAATCCGGGCCCTTACGTTCGTTTCACGTTAACTTGAAAACCACATTTCTGCCCGGTAGCTGTCTTCAGGGCGCGTGCAGCCCGACTTATAGCTACCCCACCAAACTTCCAGCAGGGTTGAAGGTTTAGGGTAGAGTCCAGGTTTTCAGGTTTGGGAGCAGCTAGGCTTGCGGTCTCAGATGAAGGACCTAAAGCGCTAAACCCTAAGCCTCACTTGAACAAACTCTTCGGAACGTCTCCAGACCCAGACCCCTCAGGCCTCAACGCCAAACCCCCCCACCCCAAACTCGAAACCCCAAACCGTAAACCCTACACCAAGCCCTAACGGATTTTCCAGCAACCCCTAAACCTACAAGCCCAGAACCAGTTTCAGAGGGGAGTTACATGAGCCCTGAACATGGGCCCTTAACAGGGGACCCGTCTATACCCCTCGAGGGCCCTTTACTTCAGAACCCGTTAAGGGAGGCAAGGGACCCATGAAACTACCCCTAGACAGCTTGAAACCCAGAGAAACCCGCAACCTTAAGCATGCAAAGCCGTTCCTGCAGCTTCGTGTGCAGGGACTCGAACTCCTGGGGCCCCCTTAGAACCCTAAACCCCAAACTCCCCTATTGGGTTTAGGGTTTGGGTTTGGGTTTAGGGTTTAGGGTTTAGGGTTTAGGGTTTAGGGCTCAGGGCTCAGGGCTCAGGGTTTAGGGTTTAGGGTTTAGGGTTTAGGGTTTAGGGTTTAGGGTATAGTATCGGGTTTAGGGTTTAGGGTTTGGGGTTTAGGGTATAGGGTATAGGGTATCGGGTTTTAGGGTTTAGGGTTTAGGGTTCAGCAGCTCCGGATCGAGCAGTTTAATGGTAGTGCTATATGTACGGCTCGGATATAACACCCACCCACCCAGAGAATCCCATAACATTAAGAAACCACATAAAGTATCTTCATACAAAAGTTCTTTTCAACGAAGACTACGGCTACAGAACAAATTCGTTCTTAAAAATCCACATAGCGTCACACAAAGATGAGCATTGCAAGAAAAAGAATGCCCGGACGATGGAGGGTGGTAGGGGGGTGGGGGGGTGGGGGGGGGGGGTGGGGAGGGGGTGGGGGGGGGGGGGGGGGGGGGGGGGGGGGTGGGGGGGGGTGGGGGGGGGGGGGGTGGGGGGGGGTGGGGGGGGGGTGGGGGGGGGTGGGGGGGTGGGGGGGGGGGGGGGGGGAAGGGGGGGGGGGGGGGGGGGGTGGGGGGGGGGGGGGGGGGGGGGGGGGGGTGGGGGGAGGCTGGGGGGCAAATTTTGTGCCTTGCCCACCAATTTTTCTTACCCACGAATTTCGGTGCCTTGCCCACTAATTTTGGTGCCTTGCCCACGAATTTTGGTGCCTTGCCACCAATTTGTGTGCCCGAAAATTCGTGGGCAAGGCACAAAGTTTCGTGGGCAAAGGCACAAATATTCCTGGGCAAGGCACAAAATTCGTGGGCAAGGCACAAAAATTCGTGGGCAAGGCACAAACATTCGTGGGCAAGGCACATTTTGGGGTTTTAAGCCTTGCCCACGGGCCCAAAATCCGAAACGCGCCTTGCCCACGAATTTTTGTGCCTTGCCCACGAAGTTTTGTGCCTTGCCCACGAATGTTTGTGCCTGGCCCACGAAACCCATTAGGGTTTATATATATATATATATATATATACATACATACATACATATATAAAAAGCGAGAGAGGTTTAGGGTTTAGGGTTTAGGGTTTAGGGTTTAGGGTTTAGGGTTTAGGGTTTAGGGTTTAGGGTTTAGGGTTTAGGGTTTAGGGTTTAGGGTTTAGGTTAGGGTTTAGGGTTTAGGGTTTAGGGTTTAGGGTTTAGGGTTTAGGGTTTAGGGTTTAGGGTTTAGGGTTTAGGGTTTAGGGTTTAGGGTTTAGGGTTTAGGGTTTAGGGTTTAGGGTTTAGGGAACCCAAAACCCCCCGGCTCAGAGGAATATGCGCAAAGGGTCTCTTTGACCTCTTGACTCCTAGACCCCAGAAAGCGTGAACGGCCAAAAACCATATATCCTAGGCCCGAAGCCCTTAACCCGAACACCCGAAATCCCAAACCCTAAACCCTAAGCCCCAACTAAGCCTTAAGCCCGCAACCCTCAAGCCCGACCTTGCTCCAGGTGCTCTCATCTCAGGGTTTCAGGTTCGGGTTTCGGGTTTCGGGTTTACAGCTAGAAGGTAGCAAAGGTCCTTAGGGCTTAGGGTCTGAGGTTTGGGGTTTGGGAGTACACCCACTTGAAGGCGGGGAGCTGAAATGCCAAACGTATGTGTACCTTAGACGAAACCCCTGAAAGCGCCGTTCCACGGCACCTATCATGGGATCCTACCTTGGACTAAGGTTGTATCCTTGGACTTGGGGACCCTTTTTTTAAGATCCCTAAGGTAACATGTGGGGGCATATTAGGTGCATATTGAGGGAAACTCTTACGGGTGCCCCTAGACCCTAAGCCCGAAACTGTAAACCCTAAACCCGAAACCCTAAACCCGAATTGGGATACGAGTCTTCAAACCTTGAACCCAGACTAAGAACTACGATTCGGACGTGTGGCTTCGGGATTTAGGGGGTAAAGGCAAAGGGCTCAGGGTTTTTGGGCTTACAGTGGGTTTAAGGTTTCGGGTTTTAGGGATGAAGTGTAGAGAGCTCAGGGTTTTTTGGGGTTTAGGGTTTAGGGTTTAAGGTTTAGAGTTTAGGGTTCAGGGGTTTAGGGTTTAAGGTTCAGGGTTTGAGATTAAGGGGTTGAGGTTAGGGACCTTGAGCTAAGGTTAGGGTTTAGGGTTTGGCTTCACGGCGCTACATGCAAGGCCAAGAATGCTGAAGCGCTCAACATGGACGACCCTAAACCAAAGCCAACACCCTAAACTCACTCAAACAAAAAACTTACCCCTCAGCCCCAAAAGCCTGTAAACCCTAAACCAAGGCAATTTGGGTAGTTCTCTGAATAGGGCCCCTTTTTGGGTACCCAGTATAAGGCGGCACCCTTAAAAAAGGACCCCGAAAAAGGTACACTAATTTAGTGCACTACCCATTTGGGCTATCAACTCGGTGCACTGCCCGCACCTCCACACCGAAGTTGGCCTCAACGTGAGCCTTCGGCTCTGAGATTTTTGGTTCAGGGTTTAGGGTTTTGGGTTTAGGGCTTAGGGTTTAGGGTTTAGGGTTTAGGGTTTAGGGTTTAGGGTTTAGGGTTCAGGTTTTTGGTTCAGGGTTTGGGCCTTAGGGTTTAAGGAGGCTGACACAATCTCAGTTCGAAGGAAGGGCGGAAAGACCGGTTCATCCAAGCAAGATGTGAAGGAATAAGACATCCTAGAAAGGGGACCAACCTACATGATGGATCCGCTTCGGAAAGCTGGACTTGCACATAAGGAGCTACTGAACCTTCAACCCTCACACCCCAGACCCCCCCAAAAAACCCTGAACCCTAAACCCTCAACCCCAAAACCTAAGACCCTAAAACCCTCAAACCCTAAAACCCCACAACCCTGAACCCTAAACCCTTCCCCAGATGACTCAACCCAAGGAGCAGTAACGGAGGCCGTGATACCTGCGATCGCATCCAGGATCGGGCGCGGGTCCGTGTGCTCGCGCAGGGTCTGCAGCACCTGCGAGATGTCCACGTCGACTTTGATGTTCCGGATCTCCTTCCTCGGCTGCACTCAGGAGGGTAGCTATGACTTAACTTATTAACTACCTTATGAAGAAACCCAATAAACCCCAAAAGGCGAAGGATCTAAAGTTACAGTGAAGCGTCAAGATTTCCGAGAAGTCCACGTCCAGGGTCACGTCGCGGATGGCTTGAAGGACCTCGGAGAAGTGTGCGTCCGGCTTGTTAGCCTCAATGGCGGTCATGATCGCCGAGATGTCCACATCAACCTTCACCTGCCTTGGTAGCCCAGCAACCATATCGCAACAAGGGTACCCTTTTTGTGGTTAGTTGCTTATCAGGGAACCTTGAACCAAACAACAAATGGCAAAAGGGTACCACTGAGCTACCCCAAACCCTGAACCCTAAACCCCAAGAAAGGGAAAAGGGTACCACTGAGCTACCAAGTTGCGACAAGTCGACATCCAACTTCTTGGCGTCAATGGCTGCCAGCACCGGCGAGACGTCCAGCTTTTGCCTTACTGTTGGTTTAGGGTTTAGGGTTTAGGGTTTAGGGTTTAGGGTTTAGGGTTTAGGGTTTAGGGTTTAGGGTTTAGGGTTTAGGGTTTAGGGTTTAGGGTTGAGGTACCCGATATCCCCCTATTATACACCCATTTAAGGGACTGTACAGGGCACCTCCTTCCCTGCTATCCAACAGTAAGCTGCTCGCGGATGGCTTGCAGGACTTGGGTGAAGTCCACATCGCACTTCTTCTCATTGATGGCTTTCAATACCTCAGACAAGTCAACGTCAACCTTCTTCGCATCAACGGCGGCGACCACCGATGATAGATCAACAGCAGGCTTCTGCTCCCGGATGGCCTGTAGGACTTCGGAGAAGTCTACATCAAGCTTTCTGGCGCCAATGGATGCTATTACTGATGAAAGGTCCACATCTACATCAACCTTTTTGGCATCAATAGCGGCAATCACCGGCGAGAAGTCCACCTTCGGCTTGTGCTCACGGATGGCCTGTAAAACCTCGGAGAAGTCAACATCAAGCTTTGCAGCGTCAGATGATGCCGTGACCGCCGATGACAAGTCCAAGTCTACGTCAATCTTCTTGGCATCGATGGCGGCGATCACTGGTGAGAAGTCAATGTCGGGCTTGTGCTCACGGATGGCATCAAGAACTGCGGAGAAGTCAATATCGACCTTCTTCGCATCAACGGCAGCGATTACCGACGAGAAGTCGACATCAACCTTCTTCGCATCAATTGCGGCAAGCACTGGTGAGAAGTCAACATGAACCTTGGCCGCATCAATCGCCGCCATCACAGGTGCAAAGTCAACATCCACCTTCTTGGCATCAATGGCGGCAAACACCGATGTGAAGTCAACATCAGGCTTGTGCTCACGTATAGCTCTCAGAACTTCCGACAGGTCGGCCTTGTTGGCTTGAATGGCCGACGTGATGGTGGAGAAGTCCTGTACTCCCCTTAGAACCTTAACAAAAAATATGTTTGACAACCTCTTGGGTTTTATGTAAACAAAAATACAAAATAATTCCCAAGGGGGATATAGAGTCTAGGTCCAGCTTCACTTGCTTCTGCGCGTGGATGGCCTCAAGGACCTGCGTAAAGTCCACGTCGCAGGTCCTCTTCGCCACGTCCGCTCTGAGCAGCGCAAAGTTCGCGGACATCTCGGCACTAAACCTGGTTCATAGTTGAAAAAATGTCAGTTTCTATTCCTCATTGAGGTTAAGTACCATTTTAAAAATGTAAAGTGCCACCCCACTATGACAGAGAAACCTCTGCATCTCCCCACGCAGTATCTCAGTGTTCAGGTCGAACTGCTGCTTCATCCTCACAGGCTTCAGGGTTGATGGTTGAAGGTTGAGGGTTTAGGGTTTAGGGTTTGGGGTTTAGAGTTTAGGGTTGAGGGTTCAGGGTTCAGGGTTTAGGATTGAAGGTTTTTGTGGTTTAGGCCTTAGGGTTCAGGGCTCTTCTTGCCCGACTGTTCGCCGATGATGCGTATGGCGGGTGCTGGGTGCTCTTGCCATGGGTTCCCCTTCTACCCCCCCCTCTATACTACAGGGTTTAGGGTTTAGGTTTAGGGTTTAGGATTTAGGGTTTAGGGTTTAGGGTTTAGGGTTTAGGGTTTGGGGTTTAGGGTTTAGGGTTTAGGGTTTAGGGTTTAGGGTTTAGGGTTTAGGGTTTAGGGTTTAGGGTTTAGGGTTTAGGGTTTAGGGTGGGTTTAGGGTTTAGGGTTTGGGCTGCCCTTAAATAACCTCAAATAGGCTTGACTATCCCTAAGTAGCCTTGATGGGGGGTGGGGGGGGGGGGACCTAAGGGGGGGTAGTAGCCCTAAACCCTAAACCCTAAACCCTAAATCCTGTATAGAGGGGGGTGGTAAGGGAACCCATGATCTTGGCGTGGCTCTTGGTTTTCTTGGCGCCACACGTCGCCTAACCTCAAGGAAGAAAAATCCCAAACCCTGAACCCCTAACCCTAAACCCTAAACCCTAAACCATAAACCCTAAACCCTAAACCCTAAACCCTAAACCCTGAACCCGAAACAACAAACCCGAAAATCCCTAAACCCCGAATATCCCACATGAGCAGCGGTCAATGTTACTTGTTAAGCTGAAGGACATGGATGTTGGGGTTATGTTTTTCTGTGTGTCCCATATCGTTCTGCAGATTAAAACGCTCTTCCGCTAGGTCATGCTAAGTCCCTACATCGCATAAATGTATCATCATGTTGGGGTTATCGTCTTCCGCGTCCCATATCGTTCTGCAGATCAAAAGCCACCAAACCATAAACTGATGTCCGTCCCTTACTAAAGCTAATCAATGCTAATTTTGACGGTCGCTCACATAGCCCGCACTTCAGGCAAGGAACTAACAAACCCGAAACCCTAAACCCCAAACCCACCAAACCCCAAACCCAAAACCCTAAACCCTAAACCCTAAACCCCAAACCCACATAACCCTAAACCCTAAACCCCAAGAACCCACGTCAGGCAAGGAGCTGCTTCGACATCCCTAAACCCTAAACCCCAAACCCCAAACACTAAACCCCAAACCCTAAACCCTAAACCCTAAACCCCAATTCGGGAAAGGAGCTGCTTCGACATCTGGAGCCAAAATTGCTCCAACATCTCGTGCCGGAATCGGCATCCGGGTTTGCCAGGTTTCGGGGGATCCTGGGCCGCGATAGAAAGCAACTTATACACGAAAAGGGTTTAGGGTTTAGGGTTTAGGGTTTAGGGTTTAGGGTTTAGGGTTTGGGGTTTGGGGTTTAGGGTTTAGGGTTTAGGGTTTAGGGTTTAGGGTTTAGGGTTTAGGGTTTAGGGTTTAGGGTTTAGGGTTTAGGGTTTAGGGTTTAAAACCCTCTGAAAACATACCTACACCCTAAACCCTAAACCCTAAACCCTAAACCCTAAACCCTAAACCCTAAACATCTCCCAAGGTCCTAGCTAGTAGAACTGGGCAGGTTCCTTGCGGTGCAGGTTTCCAGTTTGGGTTTTAGGGTGCTTGTTGGGAGCCTTTCTGTTCTGAAGCATTTCGAAAACCAAACTGCTTCTCGAAACGACTGAAGTTCCTCTATGTCGCCGCAGTGCCCGAACGGTGTATGGAAAGTGTCCAGTCTCTGCCACTGGTGGCGATCCTCGTTCCTCGGCTATTCGCATGCTGAGCTGCTTCGATTGGCAACTTCGAAACTTTAACGAGAATCAAGACGGGGGTTTACGAAAATAAGGGACCCCTGGTATAGACCCCCAAATAGTTCCCCTTTTAATAAGGACCCCAATAAGGTACCCCCTAATGTCGGAAACCCCAGATCTGAAAGGCTTCTCAACCAGAAACCCTACACCCCAACCCTAAACGCTAAACCCTAAACCCTAAACCCCATTCAACTCAGGCTCACTTTCGAAATATCGATGGTCCGGAAGTTGGACATGGAATAATTCGACTCCGACGCCGACCTTCTCAGGCCGTGGTTCAGGGCGTCGTGCTCGTGGTATTTGGCAGAAGGCTCGAAAATCCTGCAGGGTTTAGGGTTTAGGGTTTAGGGTTTAGGGTTTAGGGTTTAGGGTTTAGGGTTTAGGGTTTAGGGTTTAGGGTTTAGGGTTTAGGGTTTAGGGACCTCATGTTGCTGCGATGTTGTTCTGGTGGGAGAGCGCGAACCAGGGATGCATGAGCCCCTCAAGAACACCCTCCCCCCAAAGACAACACTAAACCCTCTACCCTATACCCTGAACCCTAAACCCTAAACCCTAAACCCTAAACCCCAAACCCTAAACCCTAAACCCCCAGTGGGCTCCTGAATTCTCCTGGGCCGGAGAGTGGCGAACCTGAATCTGGGTGGGGATCCGTGCAGCCATGGTGGATCCGCTTGGCAGACCGGGGCCGCATGTGGACGCGGTCCGACAAAGGACCAACTAAATTTAGTGTTTAGGGTTTAGGGTTTAGGGTTCAGGGCTTAAGGCTGAAGGCTGAGGGTTCTCTGATATGCTGGGTTCTTGTTATTGACTCTATGACCCTCGCATGGTTAACTTAATGTAAGTTCCTTGAACAGGCAGCCAGACAATGGTCGGTTGTTAGGGCTGAGAATGCCAGGCTCCGTACCAATCTCGAAACCCCACGAGGCACGAGAACTTAGAACAACCCCCAAGTAATTGTTTAAGCATCGCCTTGCGCAACTTTGAGGCCAAGAAGCTGCGGCAAGAAGTGTTTAGGGTTTAGGGTTTAGGGCTTAGGGTTCGGGGCTTAGGGTTGAGGGTTTAGGGTTTAGGGTTTAAGGTTGAGGGTTGAGGGCTTAGGGTTTAGGGTTTAGGCTTTCGGGCTGAGGGGTCAGGCACTTGCTCCGCACAGGCACAGCAACATCTTAAAATATCTCAAAAGCTGGCAGGCAAGCAGCTCTTGGTGTACATCTTCAACTGCTAAAGCTTTTAGAAGACTTTGATTAGCTAATGACAATATGCCAACTTGTCTTGTTAAATTTATTGGAGATCTACTGGATTGTGTTAAGATTTCTGCAAGTCGTAAGCCTTTCGTTAATCTATTCTTGCTTTCTTGCCCTAGATCAGCTGCAAATTGTGAGAATGATTGTACTTCAATAAATTGAGCAAGCTCTAGCTTATACAAAGCTGCCACATACTTCATTCCATACCATTGAGCTATAGAACCCACACGTGTTACAGATAATCCTACATCTATAGCTGGAAGAATGCCTGATAGAAATATGTCTGCAGATAAAGCTATTTGACCATCAGTACTTGAGATGAGATTTGTGCTTATGTAGCCTGAAAGATCTCCTGCTAATGTTTCAATAACTGGGAAAGAAGTAAGGCTACCACCACCGAGATTGTACGATAACTTGGCAGACCTTTCTAAAAGTCGAGAATGGACAAAGAATCCACCGACCCCAGCCGGGGGCGGCGTCAGTGAAGACCCATTGCCCCTTAGTACCGCTTTCACCCCCAGACCTATCCTGTGCCGCTGCTCTTGCTGCCCCCGCCCTTCCCGCCCCTTCCCGCTGCCCCCCCCCCCCCTAAACCCTCATCCGCACATGGGGTCAAGGCAACAGGCTCAAGGTCCCGGACCCAGTCGTCCTGGCTGGCGCGTGCAGAGATTTTGGCTGCGAGGTTTTAGTCGTTTAGGGCCTTGTGTTTTGGGTTGGGCGTTTAGGGCGGCGTCTCGCAATGGTGGATCTCCACCTCGCTGAGGAATAATCTTGCAGGCTTGTTCCATATAGACCCATTCAAAACAGCCTTCACTGGTAGGAACTTCACTGACGACAGATGAAGTGAAGGAACGGCAAGTTGGAAAAAGCGTAAACGCTGCACTTCCCTCTTCCTCCTGTGTCTCGTGGTGGGTTTGGGGGGAATGCCATAGGAGCTGGGGCGGGGGGGGGGGGTCGAGAACGCGGAGCGCGGGCAGTGGAAAGACAAACTAGAAGCCCCATTTATCCGGGAAGCCCTGCGTGCACGCCAAATCCCAACCCAAACCCCAGCCTAACTCCTGAACCCCAAAACCCCAAACCCTAAACCTTAAGCCCCAAACCCAAAGTTTTTAACCCCTAAGCCCTAAACCCTGAACCCCTACCCCCCTTAAAGCATGGAGGCCTTGTTTGGCAGCTTCTGAAAGAACTTGCGGCCGCGGTTGGCTCCCTTCTCCACGTAGTCGCCCACTAGGGTCCTTTTCGTCGGGGTAGGGTTTAGGGTTTAGGGTTTCTAGGGTTTATAGGGTTTATAGGGTTTATGGGAAATATGGGTTTATAGGGTTTCTAGGGCCTAGGGCTTAGCTTAGGGCTTGGGGGCCTAAGGCCTAGGCCTAGGGGCTAGGGTTTTAGGGCTTGGCTTAGCGCCTATGGCTTAGGGTTTCGGGCTTTTGGGGCTTAGGGCCAGGGCCTAGGGCCTTAGGCCTATAAACATGCATAAGCCAACCCTTAAGGCTAAGGAGGCTCTAGGTTACAACTCTAGGCTCGAAGACTCTAGGAGTCCCGAAGGCCCTCCCCAAGAGTCCTCAAAAGGATCAAGGTCGGCCGGCACATCATTTGCGGCCATGTCCACATCCTGCAAGGATACCAGAAAACCAGGTTGGGAGAATTGGTTTAGTGAAAGTGGCTTTGCTAGCTTGCAGCAGCTCGATGCGTCAACAGCCCTAAACCCAAAACCCTAAGGCCCTAAACTCCCTAAACTAAACCTTAAACCCTGAACTCTTAAGCCGTGGCCCTAGGCCCTAAACTTCCCGAAACCCTAAACTTACCCTAAACTCTCTAAACCCTCAAACCCCTGAACTCAACCCTAGGGTCCTAGGGGCCTATTGCCTAGGGCTCTAGGGCCTATTGCCTAGGGCTAGGGCTTAGGGTTTAGGGCTTTAGGGTTTAGGGCTTAGGGCCAGTTTAGGGCCTTTAGGGTTTAGGGTAAAGTTTAGGGGTAGGGTCTAGGGGGTTTAGGGATTTAGTTTAGGGCTTTAGGGTTTAGGTTTAGGGTTTTGTTTAGGGTTGAGGTTGAGGGTTTAGAGTTTAGAGTCTAGTGACTAGTGTTTAACGGGGGTTTAGGGTTTCAGGGTTTAGGGACAGTTTAGGGTTTAGCGTTTAGGATTCAGGGCCCTAAAACCTAAACCTAAACCCTAAAGGCCCTGAACCTAAACCCTAAAGGCCCCCTAAAGCCTAAACGGGCCTAAACCCTAAACTAGGGCTTAAGGCTTGGGATTCGGGCCAAGGGTTTAGGGCCAGGGCCAGGGTTTAAGGTTTAGGGCAAGTTTAGGGGTAATAGGGTCTTAGTCTTAGAGTTTTAGTATGGTGTAGCGTCCTAGGGCCAGCCTCGGGTTTAGGTTGGGTTAAGTTAGGGCGATTAGGGAGTTGAGGGATGGCTTAGGGTTGGGTTAAGGGCCGGCATGTTGGACCCCAGGCGCGACGTCGTGATTTCAAGGACTGCGAGATCATGGATGACCGTCAGTGCTCCGTCGCAGGTGGCTGCCATCGAAAATTGAATGAAGTCATGATAGTAAAGGTGGAGGATGCGCTCCACTGGATCCGCAGGCACGAGGCCGGCTCCTTCTCCTTTGGCCGCTGCCGGCCGCCGCCTCTGGTGCGTTAACCTCACGAAACTTTTTTAGCCAACGAAGAGACTCTTTCAGCCGCTCGGTGTTCTCTGGCCGACGTCTTTTGGCGGGCTGCCACTGCTAGCATGGCGCTAGCAAGGGTTGCGTCCTGGTTACTGATGAAGTCTGTGTCCGGAATCCTGCGGGTCTAAAGTCCTGGGTCTAGGGTCGGGGCTTAGGGCCTATTGCCTAGGGCCGGTAGAGTCCAGTCTAGTACAGGGCCTGGGGCCTAGGGGCCTAGGGGCCTAGGGTTGAGGGCCAAGTAGATCAAACCCAAACTAGAACTTGAGGCTTAAGGCTAGGGCCCTAGGGCCCCTAAACCCTAAACCTAAACCCTAAACAGGCCCTAAACCCTAAAGCCTAAACCCTAAACCCTAAAACCCGAAAACCCCTAGGCCAAACCCTCGGGTCTATTGGCTAGGGCTAGGGCTTAAGGACCTAGGACCTAGGGGCCTAGAGCCTAGAGCCTAGGCCCCTAACCTCAACCCTGAAACCCAAACCCTAAACCCCAAACCCTAAACCCCTAAAACCCAAACCCTAAACCCCCAACCTTAAACCCCAAAACCCTAAAACCTAAACCCGCCTATTGCCTCGGGCTCGGGTTTAGGGTTGTAGGGTTTAGGGGTTAAGGTTTAGGGCCTAAGGGTTCAGGGCCAGTTTAGGGGTTAGGGCCGGTTAGGGGTTTAGGGTTTAGGGTTTAGGGTTTAGGGCTTAGGGCTTTAAGGGTTTAGGGTTGAGGGCCTTTAGGGTTTAGGGTTTCCCTAAAAGCTAAACCCTAAGCCCTAAATCCCTAAACCCTAAAGCCTAAAGCCTAAACCCTAAAGCCCTAAACTGCCCTAAACCCTAGGCCCTACACCCTAAACTCCTAAACCCTAAAGCCCTAAACCCCAAACCGTAAACCCTAAAGCCTAAAGGCCTAAACCCTAAAGCCCTAAACTTCCCCAAACCCTAGGCCTAGGCCCTAAACCCTAAAGCCCTAAAACCCTAAAGCCTAAACTGGGCCTAAACCCTAAACTAGGGCTTAAGGCTTGGGATTCGGGCCAAGGGTTTAGGGCCAGGGCCAGGGTTTAAGGTTTAGGGCAAGTTTAGGGGGCAATAGGGCGGGTCTGAGTCTTGGGGCCTTATAGGGTGCTTAGGGGGGTTTAGGGTTTAGGGTCTAGGGATTTAGGAGTTTAGGGTTGGGAGTTTGTGGGTTTAGGAGTGAAGTTAGGAGTTTAGAGGTTGAGGGGTTTAGGAGTTTTAGGGGGTTGGGGTTCTTCTTCTTAAGGCGGCCGTTAGTAGGGTTGAGGAGTTTGGGGGCTCAAGGGGCAGAGGTTACCTTTGCTCCGACGGCGGACGCTGTAAGACCGGGCAACGCCAAGGCTAAGCGGAGGAAATTGACCGACTGATATGTATATCATGTTGGCAGCGACCCAGCACTGGCGGCAGCTCAGCCGAGACCAGAGAAGCCGCACACAGAGAAGTGGGCGGCAAAGCTGGAGGCCGAATTGCTCTCAGCGCGGCCGTTCGCGCTTGATGCCGATGTGTACTTAAGAAATGGGGACGCGCCCTAAACCCTAAACCCCAAACCCTAAACCCCAAACCCTAAACCCTAAACCCCTAAAACCCAAACCCTAAACCCCAAACCCTAAAACCTAAACCCGCCTATTGCCTAGGGCTAGGGTTTAGGGTTGTAGGGTTTAGGGTTTAGGGCCTAAGCGTTTAGGGCCAGTTTAGGGGGGTTTAGGGTTTAGGGTTTAGGGTTTAGGGTTTAGGGCCTTTAGGGTTTAGGGTTTCCCTAAAACCTAAACCCTAAGCCCTAAAGCCCTAAACCCTAAAGCCTAAAGCCTAAACCCTAAAGCCCTAAACTGCCCTAAACCCTAGGCCCTACACCCTAAACTCCTAAACCCTAAAGCCCTCAACCCTAAACCCTAAACCCTAAAGTCTAAAGGCCTAAACCCTAAAGCCCTAAACTTCCCCAAACCCTAGGCCGAGGCCCTAAAACCTAAAGCCCTAAAACCCTAAAGCCCAAACTGGGCCTAAACCCTAAACTAGGGCTTAAGGCTTGGGATTCGGGCCAAGGGCTTAGGGCCAGGGCCAGGGTTTAAGGTTTAGGGGCGGGTCTGAGTCTTGGGGCCTTATAGGGTGCAGTGTAGCCTACCCCAAAACCCTCAACCCGAAACTGACCCTAAACCCTTAAACCCTACCCCAAAACCCTAAACCCGAAACTGACCCTAAACCCTAAAGCCGAAGTTGCTCCACCTCAAAAGGCGCTAGGGCCTAGGGGGCCTGGGGGCCTAGGGGCCTAGGGGCCTAGGGGCTTAGGCCTACACCGCTAGGGCCCCTAAACCCTTAACCTAAACCCTAAACAGGCCCTAAACCCTAAACTACCCTAAACTCTAAACCCTAAACCCCAAACCCTAAAACCCGAAAACCCCTAAACCAAACCCGAGAGTCCATTGCCTAGGGCTAGGGCTTAAGGACCTAGGACCTAGGCCCCTAAACCAAACCCTGAAACCCTAACCCTAAACCCCAAACCCTAAACCCTAAACCCCTAACCCCAAACCCTAAACCCCAAACCCTAAACCCTAAACCCCTAAAACCCAAACCCTAAACCCCAAACCCTAAACCCCAAACCCAAAACCTAAACCCGCCTATTGCCTAGGGCTAGGGTTTAGGGTTGTAGGGTTTAGGGTTTAGGGTTTAGGGCCTAAGGGTTTAGGGCCAGTTTAGGGGTTAGGGCCGGTTAGGGGTTTAGGGTTTAGGGTTTAGGGCTTAGGGCTTTAGGGTTTAGGGTTTCCTTAAAAGCTAAACCCTAAGCCCTAAATCCCTAAACCCTAAAGCCGAAACCCTAAAGCCCTAAACTGCCCTAAACCCTAGGCCCTAGGAGCCTAAAGGCATGAATCCTAAAGCCCTAAACTTCCCCAAACCCTAGGCCTGGGCCCTGGCTTGGGATTCGGGCCGAGGGTTGCGGGCCAGGGCCAGGGTTTAAGGTTTAGGGCAAGTTTAGGGGGCAATAGGGCGGGTCTGAGTCTTGGGGCCTTATAGGGTGCAGTGTAGCGGCTAGCGGCTAGCGCCTGGGCCAGCCTAGGGTTTAGGGTTGTAGGGTTTAGGGGTTGGGTCCTAAACTTTTAAACCCTTGCCAATGGCCCTGATATTTGTCAGGTGAGCCATTGACCCCAACATCGCTGGGTGTGCCAATGGCCCTGACATTTGCCAGGTGAGCCATAGGTGGGCCATTGGCCCCAACATCGCTGGTTGCGCCAATGGCCCTGACATTTGTCAGGTGAGCCATTGGCCCCAACTTCGTTGGTACCAATGGCCCTGACATCTGTCAAGTGAGCCACACCCTAAACCCGAAACTGACCCTAAACCCTTAAACCCTACCCCAAAACCCTAAACCCGAAACTGACCCTAAACCCTTAAACCCTACCCCAAAACCCTAAACCCGAAACTGACCCTAAACCCTAAAGCCGAAATTGCTCCCAGGGTCGCCATGGTCAGCCGGCAGATCATTGGCCTAGGGCCAGGGTTTAAAGTTTAGTGCCGGCTTAAGGCTTGGGCCTAGGGCCTAGGGCCTTCGGGCCTAGGGCCTAGGGCCTAGGCCTAGGGCCTAGGGCTAGGGCCTCCCCTAAACCTGAACCCTAAACAGGCCCTTAAGGTTTAGGGCAAGTTTAGGGGTAATAGTGTCTTATATAGGGTTTAGGGCCAGTCTTCTGGAGCAGTGTTCTTTGGCTGCGGCAGCGCATCGCAGCGTGGCTGAAGCCCGGCCGTCGTTACGACACCGGGGGCAAGTTCGGTGTGCCTGTATCTCCACCCATGGATGGCAGGAGGTCGGCTCAAACACTGCCGTCTAACCGCTGCTTGCCCCACAACTCGCGCAGCTTCGGAAGCGGTCGTTATATGTTTGGACACCTCCAGATCGGCCCTCGAGCAAGGCCATCTCGGACAGTCTGGCTCCAAAGAAAGAAAGTCGCACAGTGCAGGAATGAGGGTCTAAAGGGCTTAGTAGTTTAGGCAGTCCTGAAACCCCTTTAGGGCGGCAATAGACCCTAAACTAAACTGAGGCTGGGGCCTCGAGCCTAGGGCCTAGGCCCCTAAACTAAACCCTAAAACCCAAACCCTAAACCCCTAAACCCCAAACCCTAACCCCAAACCCTAAACCCTAAACCCCTAAAACCCAAACCCTAAGCCCCAAACCCTAAACCCCAAACCCTAAAACCTAAACCCGCCTATTGCCTAGGGCTAGGGTTTAGGGTTGTAGGGTTTAGGGTTTAGGGTTTAGGGCCGAAGGGTTTAGGGCCAGTTTAGGGGTTAGGGCCGGTTAGGGGTTTAGGGTTTAGGGCCTTTGGGGTTTAGGGTTTCCCTAAAACCTAGACCCTAAGCACTAAAGCCCTAAACCCTAAAGCCTAAAGCCTAAACCCTAAAGCCCTAAACTGCCCTAAACCCTACTTAACCCTGAAGCCCTAAACCCTAACCCTAAACCCTAAAGCCTAAAGGCGTAAACCCTAAAGCCCTAAACTTCCCCAAACCCTAGGCCTAGGCCCTAAACCCTAAAGCCTAAACTGGGCCTAAACCCTAAACTAGGGCTTAAGGCTTGCGATTCGGGCCAAGGGTTTAGGGGCAGGGCCAGGGTTTAAGGTTTAGGGCAAGTTTAGGGGGCAATAGGGTGGGTCTGAGTCTTGGGGCCTTATAGGGTGCAATGTAGCGGCTAGCGGCTGCGCCTAGGGCCAGCCCTAGGGTTTAGGTTTTTCGGGTCCTAAACTTTTAAACCCTACCCCAAAACCCTAAACCCGAATCTGACCCTAAACCCTTAAACCCTACCCCAAAACCCTAAACCCGAAACTGACCCTGAACCCTTAAAACCCTAAACCCGAAACTGACCCTAACCCTAAAGCCGAAATTGCTCCACCTCAAAAGTGTCGCCATGGTTGGCCAGCAGATCATCGGCCTGGGGCCAGGCTTAAGGGGCCTAGACCTACGTAAGGGCCCATAAGCCAGGGGCCTGGGGGCCTAGGGGCCGAGGGGCTTAGGGCTTAGGGCCCTAGGGCCCCTAAACCCTAAACCTAAACCCTAAACAGGCCCTAAACCCTAAACAACCCTAAACCCCAAACCCTAAAACCCGAAAACCCCTAAGCCAAACCCTGGGCTCTATTGGCCTAGGCCCCTAAACTAAACCCCCCAAACCCTAAACCCTAAACCCCTAAACCCCAAACCCTAAACCCTAAACCCCTAAAACCCAAACCCTAAACCCCAAACCCTAAAACCTAAACCCGCCTATTGCCTAGACCTAGCGTTTAGGGTTGTAGGGTTTAGGGTTTGGGGTTTAGGGCCTAAGGGTTTAGGGCCAGTTTCGGGGCTAGGGCCGGTTAGGGGTTTGGGGTTTAGGGTTCAGGGTTTAGGCTTTCGGGTTTAGGGCTTTAGGGTTTAGGGTTTAGGGCCTTCAGGGTTTAGGGTGTCCCTAAAACCTAAACCCGAGCACGAAAGCCCTAAACCCTAAAGCCGAAAGCCTAAACCCTAAAGCCCTAAACTGCCCTAAACCCTAGGCCCTAGGCCCTAAACTCCTTAACCCTGAAGCCCTAAACCCCAAACCGTAAACCCTAAAGCCTAAAGGCCTAAACCCTAAAGCCCTAAACTTCCCCAAACCCTAGGGGGCAATAGGGCGGGTCTGAGTCTTGGGGCCTTATAGGGTGCAGTGTAGCGGCTAGCGGCTAGCGCCTAGGGCCAGCCTAGGGTTTTGGGTTTTAGGGTTTGGGGGTTGGGTCCTGAACTTTTAAACCCTACCCCAAAACCCTAAACCCGAAACTGACCCTAAACCCTTAAACCCTACCCCAAAACCCTAAACCCGAAACTGACTCTAAACCCTTAAACCCTACCCCAAAACCCTAAACCCGAAACTGACCCTAAACCCTAAAGCCGAAATTGCTCCCAGGGTCGCCACGGTCAGCCGGCAGATCATTGGCCTAGGGCCAGGGTTTAAAGTTTAGTGCCTAAACCTAAACCCTAAACAGGCCCTAAACCCTAAACTACCCTAAACCCTAAACCCCTAAAACCCTAAAACCCCTAAACCAAACCCTAGGGCAGGCCAAGGGTTTAGGGCCAGGGCCAGGGGTTTAAGGTTTAGGGCAAGTTTAGGGGTAATAGGGTCATATATAGGGTTTAGGGCCCGGAGCAGTGTTCTTTGGCTGCGGCAGCGCATCGCAGCGTGGCTGAAGCCCGGCCGTCGTTACGACACCGGGGGCAAAACCCTAAACCCCAAACCCTAAACCCCAAACCCGAAAACCTAAACCCGCCTATTGCCTAGGGCTAGGGTTTAGGGTTGTAGGGTTTAGGGTTTAGGGCCTAAGCGTTTAGGGCCAGTTTAGGGGTTAGGGCCGGTTAGGGGTTCAGGGTTTAGGCTTTAGGGTTTAGGGCTTTAGGGCTTAGGGTTTAGGGTTTTTGGGGTTTAGGGTTTCCCTAAAACCTAAACCCTAAGCACTAAAGCCCTAAACCCTAAAGCCTAAAGCCTAAACCCTAAAGCCCTAAACTGCCCTAAACCCTAGGCCCTAGGCCCTAAACTCCTAAACCCTAAAGCCCTAAACCCCAAACCGTAAACCCTAAAGCCTAAAGGCCTAAACCCTAAAGCCCTAAACTTCCCCAAACCCTAGGCCTAGGCCCTAAACCCTAAAGCCCTAAAACCCTAAAGCCTAAACTGGGCCTAAACCTAAACTAGGGCTTAAGGCTTGGGATTCGGGCCAAGGGTTTAGGGCCAGGGCCAGGGTTTAAGGTTTTGGGCAAGTTTAGGGGGCAAAGGGCGGGTCTGAGTCTTGGGGCCTTATAGGGTGCAGTGTAGTGGCTAGCGGCTAGCGCCTAGGGCCAGCCTAGGGGTCGGGTCCTAAACTTTTAAAAACTACCCCAAAACCCTAAGGCCCCCAATGGTTCATGGCCCATGGCCCCGCCCGCTCTGCCCGCTCCGCCCCCTCCGCTCTTGCCGCCCGCTCCGCCCACCCCGCCCATGGCTCCCATGGCCCCATGCCCCTCGACCCCCATGGCCCCCATGGACTAAATCCTGTGTTTTTGCGGTGTTGTGACGCGTTGGTAATGGAGCCGCCATGGCCTCGTGGCTCATGGCCCCATGGCCCCCAATGGTTCACGGCCCCATAGCTGCATGGTCCCATGACCCCATGCCCCTAGACCCTATCAGCTGACTTTAAAGGGCCCCAGTGCCTGCCCGCCCGCTCCGCCCGCTCCGCCCCCTCCGACCTGTGTTGCTGCTGTTTCCAGAAAAGCCTGGCCGTGACAGGGGCTCCTTGCTCGTGCCTTCTGTGTTGCCAGCACACTAAACCGCCAAGTTCTCGTGCCACAAGCGACCCAACTAATGAGCATCCGTGCGTTGTTCCAAACTTGCCTTTCAACAAGCCATACTCCCATCCTGCTGTTTGCTCCCATACTGCTGTTTGCCCAAGAATATATATATGGCTACTGGATGGTCCTCGGGGGTCGGCGGCACTGGCGGCAGCCATTCAATATGTCTCCTGGATAAGCTTCTCTTCCAGCTGGTCTTCTCAATAGGAGGTATATTTCTCTATAAGCACATGCATGTCGAGATAAATCATCAAGTATAAGCAAAGAAGGGAATTCACCAGTTATCACGGAGAATTCAGACAAAGCTGTACTGCTATAAGCACATAAGTATTGATGGACATTAGATGAACTGGCTGTCGCCATGAGCATTGAGAGGTAGAAGATAGCATCTTTTTGTAGAAGGGATAGAAAGACTTGTAGAATGCTTGATGAGCTTTGACCAAGACAGGTGTAGACAGTGAATATACCTATACTTTTGATTAAGGATCGTATCTATGCACATGCCCTCAACCTGTACCCTCAACGATCTCTCTAAGCTCTCTAACCCTGTACCTTGAATCCTGAACTCCCTGACTCCCGAACTCAATTGAGGTTTGAAGGCCTGAGGCCGGAAAGATCTCATTCTCTTGCAACATCATTTGGGCTCACCACCGGGTTTCAGGCCTCGGGAGGTTTCAATCTAACTGCGATCTCGGGGCTTGTGGGTTGCGGTTCAAGCTTTAGGACTTAGGGTTTAGGCGGCGAGTTTTGGGGTTGATGAGCAGACAAGGAGCGGAGTAAGGACCCCAAACCCCAAGCCCACCCTAAACCCCAAACCCCAAACCCTAAACCCTAAACCCTAAACCCTAAACCCTAAACCCTAAACCCTAAACCCAGCCTCATCTCGTGAGCGAAGTGTAAATGGATCATATGGGCTCGGGGGTTAGGTTAAGGCTTGGGGTCTAGGACTTATGGGGCTGAGGTTTTACCCAAACCCCGAAACCCTAAATCCGAGTTTAGTCTTTTAGGATTTACGGTTTAGGGTTGCTGCGCCAGGTGAGTCTGACGTTTGCGGTGGAGGCAGCTAAGCGGGAGACAGGACAAGGCCGAGGTGGCATGCTCATATAGGGATGGCATGGACCGTGGTCAGGAGAGCATTTTCGGGTTCAGGGTTTCCAGGGTTCTGGGTTCAGGGTTTAGCGTTTCGGGTTTAGGTTTTAGGGCTGAGGGACACGGCTTTTTCCGGCGCCTGCATCGCCATGCCCCGCATGTCGCTAAAGCTTGGAGAGCAGCTGGGGGATACTTTCCAAAGTTTGTCGCATGAACTCAGGCCCTGTGTTGGTGCTGCCAAATCTCCGGACGTCCGAATGAAGTATGGCCTGCACTCACAAAGCAAGCCGTTCTGCTTCCATAAACTTTAAACCCGGGCGCTTCGTCTTGCAAGTATTCAGGCCTACGTGGTGCTTTGTGCTTGGGAGGTGCAGTGTCCGAAGTCTACACACGTAGCCAGGGCAATCAACATAATTTTCTCATGTGCTGGACCGGGCGGCGGGATCTGTCAGTATGAACTCCTCGTCGTTTGAGACTCCCTGGAGGTCAACCACCATAAAGGCGCCCGCTGAGAATTCGTAGGTCCACCTGCAGAAGTCGCCCAGGACGGGGTCGTAGACCTTCGGATCCCAGGAAGCCTTGTTGTCGTTGTACTTCACGAACCCCCTTGGCAGAACTTCCTCGACGCAGTAGGCTCTGCCCTCCTTGTCCTCGACGGTTTTGAGGCTTCACAGGGTTTATAGGGCTTCATGGAGTGTATTGGGTGTATAGGGTTCTTAGGGCGTTTAGGGTCGTTTTGGGGGTTTTTAGGGTGTTCAGGGTGTATAGGTTTCTGGGTGCCTAGGGTTCTTCGGGTTTCAAGGGTTTTTTTCGGGGTGTAGAAGGTTCAGGGCCTCGATGACGTCGGGGACCAGGACTCGGATCTTGCGCGTTGGCTTGCAGCGCCGGCTGTACTTCCGGGCAAAGAACTCGGCCACCAGAGCCTTCTCCACCTCCGCCTCGTAGTCCTGGGCTCTTAGTAGGGAATAAGGGAATTATATAGGGCCCTACTATATATAATTATATAATTATATGATTCGAGAATTATATAATTATAAAATTATATAATTATATAATTAGATCATCAGATAATTATATAATTATATAATTATCTAATTATCTAATTATATAATTATATAATTATATAATTTTCCAATTATATAATTTTTAATTTTATAATTATATAATTATATAATTATATAATTATCTAATTATCTAATTATATAATTACATAATTATATAATTATCTAATTATCTAATTATACAATTCTATAATTATATACTTATGTAATTATACAATTATATAATTATAGCGCTATATAATATGGTTGGTTTAGGTATTATATAGGGTACCTCACTCCTACTAAAAGCCAGCCAGGAGTCGTCGTGGCGGCCTTTCTCCGGGCCCTTGCGGAACTGCTTGAAGACCGCCCGGGTCCAGGGCTCCTTCTTGCGGCGCCGGTGGAGGCCCCAGAAGCAGCGCCGCGACATGCCCTGGGCGAAGGGCTCCGAATGCACCACGAAGTCCGCGGCGGCGGCGCGCGCCGCGCCGAGGGGGGCCCCGCAGTCTGCCAGGCAGCTGGGCACCTCCCAGGAGAGTCGGCGACCGCGGCGGCAAGGCCTTGCTTCAAGGAGATGCCACTCGGGCTGCTCCTGGGCTGCTTCGGGGGGGTATTTGGAGGTTTGGGGTGTATAGCAGGGCTTAGGGTTTAGGGTTTAGAGTTTAGGGTTTAGGGTCTAACAAGCAATCTGCAAGCATGAGAGAGAAAACCTCCCCTACTAACCCGCAGCCAGCCACGGGAGACAGCACGAGCTCCAGCTCCTTTTTGAATGTTTTTGGCGGCGAACTCGACAGGTCGATGGATGTGCAGACGGACCGTACCACGGCCTCCTGCACGTCCAGGGGGTTGTCGATGGCCACCATCTTGACAAAGGGCTCCGACCCTGACTGGTGCCTGACGGATAATGTGTGACCACAGGTTCTCCGGAGCCCTAAACCCTAAACCCTAAACCCGAAACCCTAAACTCAGTTCCCTAAATCTCGGTGCTAGAAGCTACTGGAGCAGCCAAAGGCTCACTTGCTCGTTGAAGACCCTGATCATCTTGTCAGTATGCTCTTTGATGCGCCCGAAATAGTAGTTCACCTGCGCAGTGCAGCAGGGTCTCGGGCAGAGGGATTTAGGTTTAGGGTTAGGGGTTTGGGGTTTAGGGGTTTAGGGTTTACGGAATCTCGGACCATGTTCTTAGTGACCTTCTGTGAGCGCAGCCGCAGCAACTGCTGCGGTATGGAAATCCCGACCTGAGTTGCGCTCAGAAGCTTCTGCAAGCATCTGCACACCGTCCCAAGCTCGAGCCAGCCCCTCTATACCATGAAGCCTAAACCCTAAACCCTAAACCCTGAACCCTGAACCCTGAACCCTAAACCCTAAACCCTAAAACCCAAACCCTAGCCCTAAACCCTAAACCCTACTTTTTCCAATGCCATGGGTTGCTGGGACCGGCCGAGCTGCTCCGCTTGGGTGGTTGTCCGTCACTTGGTCGCCGTGATATTCGCGGCCGTGGCAGGGCATGTCCGCAATGTGGAACAGGACCCGCACGTGCCTAGGCCCAAGAGGGCTTGCATAGGGTTTAGGGTTTTGGGTTTTGGGTTCGGGTTTGGGGTTTGGGGTTTCTTTTTCGGTTTTTTGGGTTGCGGGTTTTGGCGTCCCCTTCCACGCCCCGCCCCCCCCCCACCCCACCCCACCCCACCCCGCCCCGCCCCACCCCCCCCACCCCCCCCACCCCCTCGCCACGCCCCACCCCACCCCCTTTTGAGCCCCCCCAGCCCGAAAAACAGCAAGCCAGGTCGCTTGCCCCCAAAACAACTTGCAGAGTTCTTTAAGGTTCAGAACTTTGGGCTGGGGGGATTTGAGCTTTGGGCGTTGAGAGGTTCCGGGCGGCGATCGGGCAACGCCCCTCTGTGTGTCCGCCAGGGCGGAAGCCCTTGCTTTAGCAAAGGGGCGGGCGCGCAGGGCCGCCGACCCGGAAAGCATCATGGGACCTTCGCGGCCTCCGGGGCCCTTCCGGATCGGGCCGGAATCGGGGACGCGAGAGCACCTTCACAAGCGTTCCAAAGCAGGAAACGCCGCCCATACCGATGATTTTGAGCTTTTTTCGACCTGAAAAAGGGTGCTTTTGGGGGCCCGGCGAGCATCATGAGCATCAGCGGCGTCGCTGTTTCGGGAAGAGGGGCTGCAAATCCCGCCTCGGCAGGTCCAGCGTTTTTGTGTGATTTCATGCCCCTTGAAAGGGGTGCCGATGGCCCCAAGGAGGAGAAGCAGGGGCCCGATGATGCTCATCATGCTGGGGAGGGCTTACAGGGCGAGGAACGGAGCCAATGATGCTGTGTAGGGTGCGCTGCATGCCTCTCCCTCCTCGGGGCGTTGCCCGCCCCTGGGCGCAGCCCCTTAATACCTCTTGAGATTTGGAGCTGCCACCCTCATCGCAACGAGCTCACAGGCAACGTAACCCAGGCCTGCGAAATAACCCTAAACCCTAAACCCGAAACCCTAAACCCAGCTCACAATCCAAACCCCCTGAGCCCACCTTCGGCCCTAGCCCTGAACCCTAAAGCCCTAAACCCCAAAGAAAACCCTAAAACCCTAAACACAACAAAACCTCAAACCCCCAAAACCCTACACCCCAAAACCCTACACCCCAAAACCCTAAACCCCAAAAACCCTGCACCCCCCAAAATTCTGAACCCCAAAAACCCTGAACCTCAAAACCCTAAACCCCAAGAACCCGGAACCCCCAAAACCCTACACCCCAGAACCCTAAACCCATGGTGCCTCCGCCAGCCAAAGCCTACGGCCTTGCGCAGGGCGCCCGCCACGTCTTCTGCGTCGTCGGCGCCCCCTCGTCAAACACTTTTGGACTTAAAGGGTTTTGGGTTTGGGGTTTAGGGTTTAGGGTTTGGGGTTTAGGGTTGAGGGCTTAGGGTCCATGGATTTAGCATCAAGGCTGTTGGGTTTAGCTCAGGCTGGCTGATGGGAATTTGGGGTCAGGGATACGCCCCTAAACCCTAAACCCTAAACCCTCAACCCTGAACCCTAAACCCTAAACTCTGAACCCTAACCCTAAACCCTAAACCCTAAACCCCAAACCCTAAACCGCAGAGGTTTGTCGGGTGCCGGGTGCCTCTGGCGAAGACATTCGCGACACGTCGCGCGAAGGCCTCCACATCGTCTGTGAAGTCCAAGACCTGGGCAACATTGGAACTTAACGAGTTTAGGGCTTAGGGTTCAGGGTTTAGGGTTTAGGGTTTAGTGTTTAGGGCTTAGGGTTTAGGGTTTAGGGTTTAGGGTTTAGGGTTTAGGGTTTAGGGTTTAGGGTTTAGGGTTTAGGGCTACAAGGGTCCACTTGGGGTTTGGCAAATCCCGGCCTCGAACTGGCGTGCGTCGCGCACGTCTCGATAGCCCAGGAACCTCAGGAACCCACCGGCTAAGGGTCTTAGGGTTTTGGGTTTAGGGTTTAGGGTTTAGGGTTTAGGGTTTAGGGTTTAGGATTTAGGGTTTAGGGTTGGGAGTTTAGGGCTTTGGAATTTAGCAGTAAGGGTCTAGGGGGGCTGGGGTTTAGGATTTTGGTGTCTGGGATTTGGCAACCCTAAACCCTAAACCAACCTTAAACCCTAAACGAACCCTAGACCCTAAACCAAGCCTAAACCCTAAACCAACCAAACCAACCCCAAACCCCAAACCCCAAACCCGACCGAGCCGCCCCACACGCAACTTCAACTTCGGGTAGGCGCTCTTCAGGCGTCGGACCATGTGGTGGATGGTGCCCTTCACCTGGAAAAAAGAGACTGTTATGGATAGGGTTCGAGGGCTTCTAGGGTTTAGGGTTTCAGGGGACCCTGAACCCGCCCCAAAAAAGTAAACAGTGGGAGACCAAAACAGACACAAAGATTGAAGCAAGCCTCGGCAAGGCTTGGGGCCCATTGTAGCGGTTTCAGGGTTTTTGTCGGACCCTAAACCCTAAACCCTAAACCCTAAGCCCTAAGCCCTAAACCCTAAACCCTAAACCCTAAACCCTAAACCCGAACCCCAAACTCTTTTCTCTGGGGGCCTGATCGATGTAGGGCTGCATGGAGCCAGTGCAGTCCACCATGAAGAGCAAGTCGACGTCCTGGTAGCGCTTGACGCTCTCGCCCAGGGCCTCGATCTTCCTGCGCCGCTCCTAGCTAACCTACTAGTTGTTTGAGAACCCCACCCTCCCCCCCCACCCCCCCCAAAAAAAAACAATGAAGATAGCAATCCCCGTATTGCCCTTATAGGGAAGAATATTTTTGTTTGGGGGGTTTAAGAACCCCCCCAAAAAAAAATAAAAAATAAAAAATGTACCCAAAAAAACAAAGGACAGATAGGAGATAACAATTCCCCCTATTTCTTTGATTTTTTCTCTCCTCTAAGAGTTACCTTAGAGAAGCTCGCTTGCCCGTGTGCCGGCGGGGCTACATCAAATCAGCCTAGATATCAGCAGAAACAAGCTTTGCATGAAAAAATGAATTTCTACGCTCCCAGAGCGCTATGTGTGGTTGCATTGATTTTCCTTGGCAGTGGTGAGAGACATCCTGCCAATCCCTTTGACACATCCTGCTATTTGGGGGTCTATATTAGGTGTCCCCCCTCAACCCTTAACCCTAAACCCTAAACTCCCATCTGGGGGCCCCCGATTTTCATAAAGCCCCATTTCCCCCTTCACACACCCAACGCTTGGCCAGGCAAGGCGCCTTTGCTTCACGACGTCTTGGAGCAACGCCTCCTTCTCCTCCTTCTCATCCTGCAGCCGCGCGGTCCTCGGGGTTTAGGGTTTAGGGTTTAGGGTTTAGGGTTTAGGGTTTAGGGTTTAGGGTTTAGGGTTTAGGGTTTAGGGTTTAGGGTTTAGGGTTTAGGGTTTAGGGTTTAGGGTTTAGGGTTTAGGGTTTAGGGTTTAGGGTTTAGGGTTTAGGGTTTAGGGTTTAGGGTTTAGGGTTTAGGGTTTAGGGTTTAGGGTTTAGGGTTTAGGGTTTAGGGTTTAGGGTTTAGAGGTCCTCTGCGTGAGAGCCCGGTTGTTCTGCTCGGACTCCCGGAGCCTCCGCTCCGCCGACTCCTTCACCCGCAAGGCCTCGTTTTTGCTGTCCAGGAGCTGCCGGTTGCTCCTCAGCCCGGGGGTGGGGGGGTTTAGGGTTTAGGGTTAGGGTAGAGAGTTTGGGGTTTAGGGTTAGGGTTTAGGGTTCAGGGTTTAAGGGGTGGGGGGGAGGAGGTGGGGAGGGCTTAGGGGTTTAGGGTTTCGGGCTTTTGGGGGTTGAGGTTTTTGAGGCAGTTGAGGGTTCTAGGGGACCGGATGCATTAGAGGGCTTTTCGGGTTCGGGGGTTTTAGGGTTCGGGGGTTCTAGGTTCTAGGCTTTTCGGGTCTGAGGGCTCTAGGGTGTTGAGGGTTTAAGGGTTCTTTCAGGGCCGGCATGAAATCCTCAGCCAAACAAAGGTCCCAAAGAAGTTCGACCCCTCACTTCTCCAAGGCTCCGCTCCAACGAGTCCTGGCCCTCTTTCCTTACTTTGGAAATCCCTATGAAGGCACAAAAAGCGTCATCTCGGGGTTCAAAAAGGGGGTTTCCGAAAACAAGGGGGTGCCCTTTTTGGGGGTCTCTTAAGGGGTACCCCTATTTTGGGAAATACCCCCCAAATGGGCTGCTTGAAAAGGGAATTTGCTCTACCCAAAAAAAGGGATTGGTTCTACCAAAAAAGGGCGCGTAACGAGATACCTAAACTCGGCACCGAAGTTTCAGGGCCCGGAACTCGGAGCGCCATCGGAGCAGCTTGGCCAGGCCCAGGGCGCCGAAGGCGGCGCCCAAGGCGCCAAGGCCCAGAAGTGCGGCCCACGGCGGCCTCACAAGTGGGCAAGAGGCGGCCGACTCATTTTTTTTTTGGGGGGGGGGGGGGGGGGGGGTAGCGGGGTAGGGAGTAGGGTTTAGGGTTTAGCGTTTAGGGTTTAGGGTTTAGGGCTTAGGGTTTGGGGTTTAGGGCTTAGGGTTTAGGGTTTAGGGCTTGGGGTTTTGGGGTTGAGGGTTTAGGGTTTAGGGATAGGGTTCAGGGTTTGCCGTATTTTTCGTTGGCATACTAATACAGTTAGGTACGTAAAAACAAACACGATTAAAAGTGGCATGACACAAGGTGAGATGGCATGACACAAGGTGAGAGAAGCGCACAACTTCAAACCTTCTTGAACCTTGCGACCCCCGCCCTCAATGCGAAACCTCCGACATTCAACCCTAAGACACAACCCTAAACAACCCCTCAACCCTTAGAACCTTCGACCCTTCAAACCCTCAACCCTGAAAACCCTCAACCCTTGGAACCCTCAACCCCAAAGCCTGAAAACCCTGAAAACACCCTAAACCCTAAACCCTAAACCCCGCTGGCCTCGAGCTCGGCTGCGGCTCCGCTGGCCTGACGTTTGCTGCGCAGGTCCTTGGGCCCGCGTGCCATCCGCAAAATAGGGTCTACAGGGTTTAGGGTCTACAGGGTTTAGGGTTTAGGGTTTAGGGTCTAGGGTCTAGGGTTTAGGGTTTAGGGTTTAGGGTCTAGGGTTTAGGGTCTAGGGTTTACAGGGTTTAGGGTCTAAGGCCGACAAGATGCGTTTTAGGGCTTTGGCCTTCGTAGCCTTCATACATTGGCTTCTTGTTCCGCCGAGATGCGTCTCAAACGCAGCTGTGGCGACTCGAATGTGTCAGTTTGGGCTGTTTTCTGGAAGGTCCCTAGGGTTCAAGGTTTAGGGTCGGGTTTTGGAGGTTACAGCGTCCTTTGTGCTTACAGACACTCCCAGCAGCGACGACGCCATGGACTTCCCCAAGCTCCTCCCCCCAATTTCCGCCCAAACCTCTACTAACCTTTGACGCTACAAATTGAAACCCATGAACCCTGAACCGTGAACCGAACCCCAAACCCTAAACCCTAAACCCCAAACCCCAAACCCCAAACCCTAAACCCTAAACAACCCTAAACCCTAAACCACCCTGAACCACCCCGAACCATCCCAGGTAAAGCGGTGCTGTCGGGCCTCGCCACGGCCTTCTCCGCGGGCTGCTCCTCCTCGGCGTCGGCCGAAGGCCGCCAGGCCACAGTGAGGTGTGCTGCGAGCTGGCTGCCGGCCTCGTCCTGGTGAGGAGCTTCTGTTTGAGAGGGGGGTTTTGGAAAGGGTTTTGGGGTTTAAAGCGTTTCAGGGTTCTAGGGTTTTAGGGTTCTAGGGGTTTAGGGTTCTATGGTTCTGGGGTTTTGGGTTTAACGTAGTTTAACATGGAGGCGGGGTGTACAGCACACAAGTCACACCGGAAGCCCCAGCAATCCAGATTGTGGTCCATTGCGCGGCCCTGTTACAATATGGCCTCTTGAATGTAACTGGGTGGTTGTCAAAATTATGGCCCCTTTTTGGATCCCTATTATAATACGGCACCTAATATTTAGGGTACCCCAAAAGGGATCATAATTTTGACAATCACCCAACTCCCCGAGAGAAAGAGCACCCTCTAGTGTAGGAGACCAGACCTTGCAGGTCAGACATGCGATACTTCACCGATGAGCTGCTAAAACCCTAAGCCCTAATCCATGAAGACCAAACCCTAAACCTCAAACCCCAAACCCTAAACCCGAAACCCGAAACCCTAAACCCTAGAAACCCTAATCCCAAATCCCCAAACCCTAGGTTCCGGTCCTGAACCCCAACGACCTCCCTGAGCTGGGAGGCGGTGTTCTTGTTCGTCAGGACAACGTCGTCCAGGGAAATTGTGAAAGAGGTCTTTTCGACCCACCTGGGCATGAGGATCAACGGGCTAAAGCCTGTGTGGCCTGGCCTAGCCTAATTTAGCCTAATATTTAAAGTTGTAAAGCTTCTAGGAGATCAGGACTTCAGGTTCGGGGCTGTGAAACATCTGGGATTGGTTGAGGCTCTGGCACTTGCCTAGTCTTCGAGAACCCTGAGCCCTAAAGCCCCGCCCAACATGGAACTCCAGTTTGGCAAGGCGCTTGTGCACCTGTTGCCACAAGATGCTGTAGCTCGGGATCGTTCCATAAGTCCGCTCCTGCACCTGAAGCCAACTCCCCCGCGACCCCCATATTCATATGGGCGTTGCAAACAGAAGGGGACCCTAATATACCTCTAAATGACGGTGATCCGTATTATCGGATCTTTCCGAAAAAGCAACTCCTGTTTTTGGGAAGCCCGTGTGTAAGCGACCCAACCTACTATGGTCCCTTTTCGGGTAGGGTAAGGCTCCGCATTGGTACGGGGACGCTGTGATTTGGAGAATTGCCTGCTTGGGTTTGGGTTTACCCTAAACCCTAAACCCTAAACCCTAAACCCTAAACCCTAAACCCTGATACTGCCCAATGGCCTGGCCATCCGGCAAGTGGAAGCTCACCTGGAACTCCCGGTCCACAAGGACGAAGCTGCACTCGGTGTGCCTGAGCTGCTTGCAGGGCTTAGGGTTTAGGGTTTGTGGTTGGGGTTTAGGGTTTAGGCTTTAGGGTTTAAGGTTTAGGGTTTACGGTTTAGGGTTTAGGGTGCATTCTTCTGCTGAGGCTGCTTGACTTCCTGAAGGGTCCTTCGCTATCCTAAAGGGTTTCTCTTACGCCCCGTTCCTACCCATTCCTGCCCACCTACATGCTGTGGCTATATGGGCCATTTCCAAAATTATGGTCCCTATTTGGGGGTCCCTTTTGAAAGGGTGCCGCCTTAAAATGGGTACCCAAAAAAAGGACCTCGATTTGAGAACCTACCCATATAGCATTCGGAACCCTCGCAACGCGTACGGGCCTGAACCCCAAACCCTAAAACCCTGAACCCTAAACCCTAAACCCGAAACCCTAAACCCTAAACCCTAAGTTTGCAAACACAGGCTGCGCATCGGACCCGGCATCGCTGCGCAAGCTCGGCCGCGCGGCCGACTCCCGGGAGTCCGCAGAGCCTTTGCCGCTTAGGGTGTTTAGGGTTTAGGGTTCAGGGTTCAGGGTTTAGGGTTTAGGGTTTAGGGTTTAGGGTTTAGGGTTTAGGGTTTAGGGTTTACGGTTTAGGGTTTAGGGTTTAAGGTTAGTTAGGGTTTAGGGCTTAAGGCATTGGACCAAGTTTTAAGCTTTAGAAGGCTTAGGGTTTTGGGTTTCGGTTCAGGGTTCCCCAACTCTATGTCCAGCCGAGCCCCAGGCTTTCCATGGCTTTGGCCGCCGGAGCTGCAAGCACAGAAGACAGGGACAGGACCTACCCAGACTATGGTATTTCGATTACTGTTCTTGAAGCTCTGACTCCGAATCTGGCATGTCAAGATCAAGCATTGGTGCAGACGCGCGTTGGAATTCATTCGGTTGTGGAGGACGTGGCCGTGGCTTTGCACTCAAGCCAAATGTCACAAGCGAGGAAAAGTGTCATTCACCCACCCGCAAGCACGCACACGCCGCCGCACAACTGTGTGGTATAGAAAGAGACTGTTTCGGGCTTAGGGTACCCCAACTCAGCAGAAGTTATGTCCAGCCGAGCCCGAAGCTTTCTTGCATGGCTTTGCTCGCTGGAGCTGCCACGACAGGCCGAAAGAAAAGGACAGGACCTACCCAGACTATGGTACTTCAAACCATACTCCGAATGAGGCGTGTCAATACCAAGCATTGGTGCAGATTGCCATCGGAATTATTTCGGTTTGGGATTCGGTTTTGGAGGACGTGGCAGCCAATTTTGTACTCAAGCCACATGTCACAAGCGAGGAAAAGTTTCATTCACCCACATGAAAGCATGCATGTGCCGTGGCAACTGAAAAGGACCCTGCTTCAATAGCATCCCAACTTCCAAAAGCAGGTTCATTGAACTCACATTCTTTCGCATCGGCAATGCTCTTACCACGGGATGCATTTTGACGGCGGCGAGCGCACGCCCCCAGAGGGTGGGTGTCGGGAGTTGAGGGCGGTAAATCGTTGCGCCCACTTGCCCCACCTGTCCCACTTGCCACACTTGGTTTGCTTCCGTGCCTCCTCGCTGAAGAGATATAGCTGAGCGCCGACATGCGCTGACCATTCCTCACGGGTAGGGTGGTCTGTCTGGTTCTGCTTCTTGCTGTTTGCTGCCTGTGTCTTCTTGATCTTTCTTCATGTGGCCGTATCGGGTCAGGTCCGGGGCTCGCTTGACAAAACCAGGCTTTGCTGGTGCAGGCAAAACAGCTTGATCGACCACCGCTTCCGAGCAGAAGAGCCCTTCATCCGCAATATTGCATAAAAAGCTACACGATTTGGAACTGGATGGTCTTGCACACGAAAGTAAAGAAATGTTTTGGGGGACACCGGTTCCGTACTCAGGCCTCATGGAACGCACTCAAAATCCTCTCAAGGGGCCTGCGGGCTGATATTGTAGGGTTGCAATTCCTGCTGCACAAAGCCTGAAACAAGATGAGCCGAGGTAAAGCATGTGCAATTTTGAGGTGCTGGTTGCCTTGCTTGCTTCCTGATGCTTCGCAAACTCGCCCAAGCTCTGGGGGAACAATCTTTGCAGTTGGAGTCAAACCTTTCTTTTGCAATTGCAGTCGAAAGAACCGGGCCAAAAACGCAAAGAAACAATGCCTTCTGGAAACGAGCTCGGAAATATGCCGTACAGAATCTGCAACACTGGAGTTCGCCTCGGCTTCCAGCTCAGAGGCGTCTGGAACAATCAGACCAAGAACTGGTCTCCTTGCTTCCTGGACGACCTTTTATGGGACCGGGACCGTGGACCTTCAGGACCCCCCTCTGTGGTGCTGCACCAAAGTGAGGCTTTCCTTCGTCTGCGATGCGCACGCGATCCCTCGTCGGGCCAGCCCGGCTGGTGAGGCGGCGCACGTAAGCTTGCAATTATTTTGGAGCACATGCAGCGACTTGCGAAATGACCGGAATTCCTTTTGCAAAAAGGAACCAAGTTTGCCCAAGAGCAACGGCAATTGTAGTGCAGTGGCAACTATCTCTCATTGCGCTCTGTCAGTGCCTGGCGGTGATCAGTAGTTGCTCAAGTTCCCCTCGCAGCTCATGTATTCTGAGGCGAAGGCAGCTGTGCATCTGTCATCGCATTCTCAGATCGAGTTCATCGAGGTCGGCTAGTTTCTTGAAAACGGACTTTCCTTTCGCGCAAAATCCCCAAAGGCCTGGAGTTCAGAGCTGCAGGCTGGACGTAACAGGCGCAGCTGCTCCTACGATTAGCAGCAACGATGCCAGTGGGCTTGGCATGTTCCCACTAGCCAGGGCATTGGAGACAAAAACACACACACACACACACGCCATCACTGAATGGCACCACTACGACAGCATAGCGTCACACCCAAATATGCCCAAGGTATGCAAGCACAACGCGCAGCTCCTTTTTAATTCTCGGGTTGCGAGCGCTTCGGGCAGCATGCAGAGCTCAACATTGGAAGCCGGGGCTGCAAAAGTCATGTACGCCTAAGGCGTCAACTCCACGAACCCTAACGGCCCTAACACCGCCTCCAAGCTTGCATGTATGGTCGATGTGCTGAGTTCAGATTCTTCACGAAATGCATCCAGGCTTGGCAGGCTGATGCTGCGATCGTTCACTGAAAGCGTAGGCTTCCAAGGGAGCTGCTCTCATGATACCTCGGGCAGTTGGCAACATGTGGCAACACAGATGACCCACTGCCACACTCAGCCAGATGCAGTGCAGCCTGCCCTGGGCATGAAATCCTGTAGACTTAACTTAAAAGGGCCTGGACATACATGTCAGTATGATTCAGTATGCGTGAGCTGGCCATGCACTGGAATGGCAATTTGAGCTGGCCGCCTTTCAGGAAGGCAGGCACAGCTCCTTCTACAATAAAACCTCGCTCTCTTCGGTCTTGGGCCCCGGCATGCTCAGTCGAGTACGAGACCTGCGCGATGTCGGGGTGCCAGGCTGACCGAAGAGCCTGGCGCAAGGGGGCGCTCACAGGTACAGTAGAGGGTCAAGGCCCTTGGCCCTGTCGATGATTTCATTCTATGAGGTCTCCTGCTCTGCAGTTGCAATACAAGGGGGGGGGGGGGCGGAGTAGTTTCTACTTCCTGTATGCCGTCGCCAATGGGGGAGCTCCTGGAGTCCCGGGTCGACGCGAAGAAAACAACGTTAAATGCATGGTAGGTTTAGTGGTGCGTTCCCAGGATCTTGGGTTCCCAGGATCTTTACCATCCAGCTCAACTGCACTTGCCCCAAAGACCTTTGCCCCAAAGCAACGAATCCATTTAACAGCGTCCCAACATGCGCTGCATGGCCGAGGAGGTTGGTGCCCAAGCAGCCTGGGCTCCGGCGCTTCTGCAGCGTGGAGTTGTGCTTGAGGGCCTCGCGGATGGCCGCGGTGGTTGGGAGCCCGGCGTTGCGGATCTGGCTTGCTTGCTTCTTCTCCATCATCCCGCAACAAACTCCAATACATTGCAGGGAGGTAGGGGAGTCTAAGGGCGGCTCAGAGCGGATGACTCAGCACCAGACACCGCCAGCAGGGGCACGAGATTTTTACCGGAAGCCTCCTGCAAAAACACCTCCCCAAACATAGCATGTCTTGAGTCAAGCCCCTCAAGGGGAAATCACACGCCTTCCTACACGCCCCAGGCCATGACGGTGGGATTGGGTAGTCTGACTACCTTGTTGGGGGTCCCTGTCATCTGCTACTTTGGTTCTGACATGGGCATCTCTGATGCGGCCTTTCATCGCTGCGACATCGTCCATTTCGCTAAAATGCTGCTGTAGGTGTTTGATAAACCTCTCCGGTGATGGAAGCAGGCCTGGCATCTCTGATGCGGTCTTTCACCGCTTCGACGTCTGCATGATCTTCTCCAAGATTTTGCTCCCTGATGTTCAACAATCGACGCAACATCTCTCGCTCTCTGCTGAAATTCTCGATCTTGTGAAGAGCTGTTGCCAAATTGTCCAGTGCTCGTTCAACGCTCCCATGACTCTCACCAAACTTCAGCTCCCCCATGTTCAAGGAACGTTCCAGCTTCCTGACAGTTGCATGCGGCCCCTCTGCCGCATGGTCGTTCTTGTCAGCCTCCATTCTCTGCATCAGTCTGCTATATTCCTCTTCATTGCCGAGTCTCCTGTGAAGACTGGCCAACTGCTCCGTAGCCTGTTGCCTGGCTCCATCAACTTCGTCAAGGTATGACGAGGCCAGAAGGTGAGCAAGTTGTCTGAGCCGCAGCTCACTCTGGAACTGGACTCTGCGTTCCTTGAGTTCTTCCTCCATGAGCTCTGCCATGTCACTGATTCGTGTCACAGCGTCCCGTGCCATGATCTCGGCCTGGGCATCCTCAAACTCATCCTGGTTCCAAGCAGATTCACCTTGCTCGATATCAAATTCAGGGTCCGCGAAGGCTCGCCTGCAAAGCTCCGGCGTTTGCAAGATGTCTTTCCATGCAATGATTCGGTTCGGCTCTCGCCGGGTGTCGCTGCTGGGGATGAAAAAGTGTAGCAACTCTTCTGCTATATAACCAAGTTCCCACCTGCAGGCCATGGAGCAAATGTACGCCGCATTCAGCCGTAGAATGAGGATGCCAAAGTTAGTTTCACGGGCACATTTCCTGTATCCACGTGCTGGGTCTGCGAACCACCCTGGCAACCCATCGGAATCTCTTTGGAGTTGCCAAGCCTCCCGCTCGCCTGCCAGAACCTCTGGCTCGCTGTGTGCCAAACTCAACGACCTATCAGTGCAGAATGTTACAGGGCGCAGTGCTTGTTCACCACGACTTTGGAGCCAAACGCCGGGCACACCCAGAGAGAACAGGATCTGGTTGTCCTCCAATTTGTTCTGTAAAGCAAAGGAGACGAGGAAGTCCGTGCCCTTAGCAGATTTCTTGGCCTCCACTTCGTCCCTGCTTTGCCAGCCTGTCGGCGAAAGCTTTCGCTGTCGTCCAAACTCTTCTAGCTGCTTCTCGCTCTCGGCCAGCACGTCTGCCATGGCATAGTCGTCTTCGAAATCGGAGTGTCCTGCTCTGTGTGTGTGTGTGTGTGTGTGCGTGTGTGCGTGTGCGTGTGCGTGCGCGTGCGCGTGCGCGTGTGCGTGCGCGTGTGCGTGTGCGTGCGCGTGTGCGTGCGCGTGTGCGTGCGCGTGTGCGTGCGTGTGTGCGTGCGTGTGCGTGCGTGTGCGTGCGTGCGTGTGTGCGTGCGGTGCGTGCGCGTGCGTGCGCGTGCGTGCGCGCGTGCGTGCGGCGTGCGTCGGTGCGGGTGCGCGTGTGTGCTGGGCGTGCGCGTGTGGCGTGCGTGTGTGTGCGTGCGTGTGCGTGCGTGCGTGCGTGCGTGCGTCGTGCGTGCGTGCGTGTGCGCGTGCGTGCGTGCGTGCGTGCGTGGCGTGTGGCGTGCGTGGCGTGGCGTGCGGCAGTGCCGTTGTGCGTGCGTGCGTGCGTGGGCCGTGCGTGCGTGCGTGCGTGCGTGGGCGTGCGTGGGCGTGCGTGGGCGTGCGTGCGTGCGTGCGTGCGTGGGCGTGCGTGGGCGTGCGTGCGTGCGTGCGTGCGTGCGTGCGTGCGTGCGTGCGTGCGTGCGTGCGTGCGTGCGTGCGTGCGTGCGTGCGTGCGTGCGTGCGTGCGTGCGTGCGTGCGTGCGTGCGTTGCGTGCGTGCGTGCGTGCGTGCGTGCGTGCGTGCGTGCGTGCGTGCGTGCGTGCGTGCGTGCGTGCGTGCGTGCGTGCGTGCGTGCGTGCGTGCGTGCGTGCGTGTGTGTGCTGTGTGTGTGTGTGTGTGTGTGTGTGTGTGTGTGTGTGTGTGTGTGTGTGTGTGTGTGTGTGTGGGTGTGGGGGGTGGGGGCAGCTCCTAACTCCCAAGTCGTCAGTTCTGCGAAGGCTGCAGATCTTGCAGTACAGCCGGAGGTGAAACCCTGAAGCCCCCAAATGCTTAACATTGCTACACCCAAACCCAAACCCGGAACCCTACATACACCCTAAACTGTACCCAGACAAGGCTCAAGTCCTGCAGCTTTTTTGGCGATGCCCCGTAAGTTCCAAGCTATCGCAGACTTGGGGGTAATTTTCATGGCCTTGTTGAAGCAGTCGATTGCTTTGCTCAGGTCGGAACCCAAGTAAGTGGTGCCCTGTGTGATGAAGTAGAGGGCAGTTGTTTCATCACCTTCATCACGATGATCTCCCCACGTCGCACGCAGCTGCGGCACGCAACAGGCCGTCAGGATCCAGGATCCCACCAGAATCGACGACCACCCCTTCTGCTTGGACAGCCAACGAGGAAAGCTGAACAAGGCCCACGATGGCACAGCCGCAAAACGCTATGACACCCAGTCCGGCCCCTGAAAGAGAGAGCCTGTGAAGCTTCCATGAAAGAGAGAGCCGGCCAACTTTCCGTGCAAGAGAGAGCCTGTGAACTTTCCTGCAGCAACCGTAAACGCCTGTGAAGGCAAACAACACCACTGGAAGAGTAGGTAGGGAAAGAACCGAACATGCCAGAAGCGCAAAGCCGCGGTTGTAAGCTGCCTCTGTGACCATTCTTTCTTGGCCGTGGAGCCACGTCAACGAATGTACGGCCCAAAAATGACCCCACACCACGAGAATGGGAAGCACCATGATCACAAGTGCCTGTATGCTGCTTATGTTCTCGTAGAAGTCGAGAGCACGGCTCAAGCAGCACAGCAAAATGCCGCTCAATACATAGCCGACGGCGTAGATGATGGCCCACGCGGGGGAAATCTCAATTGTTCTCCAGACTGGGTAGCCTATCACCGCCAGCACGATGATTGCCACGAGAGCCGCGGAGCCCTCTTTACAGGTTTCATTGGTTGACTCGGACATTGAGGACAAAGCTGCGCGCTAAAACGGTATACTAAAACTTCATTGGTCCTGGAGAAGGATAGGACAAGCCGGGGGCTGTGCCCAGCTGTAGTCACCTCCTCGACAAAGGTTGGGGCCCAACAGGTCGAACAGGGTGAAGAGACAACAGGGCCGAGCACTGTTGTAGAATCTTCGCAAGATGGCGGCAGCGGGCCCCGCCAGAGTTAAGGGCATATGCCATGGAATGCTACTAAGGCACCCAGAATCTTGCCAGCTCTAAGAGCCGAGGGCGGGGCATCTCCGGCCTGGCGCCCATCTTGCCTCCAAGGCACATAGAGGGACATAGAGTGACCTGTCTTTTGAGAGCTGTCTGGCAGGCACCAGCTTGAAAGCCCTCTCTTGTATAGACTTAAACTTGCACAACATCTCCGCACCTTCAAGCTTTGCCCTGAATGCTGCCGATTTTCCCTGAGATCTGAAGAATCCAAAGGGGCCCAGCGCCACACAGCACTTTCCGGCACGTCAACCCTTTGTCAGGTGGGTTCAGGACCTCAGCAGCTTGCGGCCCGAAAACTTCCTTTCCAGCTTACTCCCATGCGACGCCTTGTCTGCCCTGCTCTGCTCCTCCAGCTCCTGCGGCATTTTAGGCCCCAGATTGTTGAGGGTTTCAAGAACCTCCTTGCGAGCAGGAAGCACTTGTCGCATACATGTTGCATTGCTAGAACCTTGCAGCACCATGGCGTCAAAGAGGCCAGGCCCCGCCAAGTAGACAAGACTGCTTCGTCACAGAATGGGTTTTTGGGCGACGATGCCACTAAACCCTAAACCTAAACCCTAAACCCTACACCCTAAACCCCACCACCACTCCTAAACTGAAGATCTGACACCCTGTGCATACATGCAACAGCACAAACCGAATGTTGCAGAAACTGAACTGCATGCCAACATCATTACCGGCCCCTCGCCTGCAGCAGCGACAGCGCGTGTGTTCAGCGCGCCCTTCTGCCACAACCTGTGGTGGGCTGTTGGGTGCAAGACTTCTGCCCTGTCTCATTCTCCATATGGCTATCTATCCCGGAGTATCCCCATACATTCTCTCATGGCTCTTATTGGTCTTGCTGATAACATGTGCGCGAAGTGCATTTTGGGCAAAACGAATCTACGCACGCCCAACATTCTTGATGGTTTTTGGTTCAAGGTCGTGTGCTTGATTTGGGCGGGGGTTGAGGAGAGGCTGAACCCTCAGGGAGCCGGTTGTCGTTTCACTGGCCATTGGAGAAGCCTCCTGCAGCAACATTTTCCGAACATAGCAAGTCGCAAGACGAGCCTCTCAAACGAATCGACACGCCATCCTACTTACGCCCCAGGCCATGGCACATCCGAGCCTGAATCACAGCGTCCGTCACATTGCACTGGCTGAGGCCGATGGCATCACGATCCCACTTTCCCGCGAAGAGTGTGGCCAGCGCCTGAAATCAAGCCGAAGGCTCCCGCTCTACCGAACCCAACATGAACCGGGTGACCTGGCAAAAGCTCGACTTCACAAAGCTGCGACATCTATGGAAACTACGGCGCCGTGAAGAGTTTGAGAATGCCTCCGCTCCATGAAGACAAGAACTCGGGATTTGACAAGGTTAGGCTCTTAATAACATGCTTCGGACCCATCGACCCCATTTGACTGAAGGAGCCCCTGAAAGCCATGTCTTTATCTCATCCTTGCAGTGATGCGTGATTGACAGCCATTGCGTTGTAGTAGAATGTAGAATTGCAGGAACACGGGGCTGATCGACAGGCAAGAGACGACAAGCTTGGTTTTGCCACTGGATGCACAGAGCATGGACAGGATATTGAACAGGCATGAACAGGCTGCACTTTGCGGTCTTCAAAAGTGTTTAAATGCTTTTAAAAGTTGTTAAAAGTTGTTTAAAGTCTTTATTTGTCTTTATTTGTATTTTATTTGTGTTTATTTGGCTTTATTTGGCTTTGTGTTTATATAAAAACTGCGAGGAACTAAACCCCGAGAAAGTAAGCCTAAAACTCAGCGCAATGATACTGTCATTACGATTATGATTATGACTACTATTACTATTATTACTATTCTTTCTATTCTTATTATTCTTACTATTGTTCCAATTGTTACTATTCTTGCTATTACTACTACTATTGTTACAGTTATTGCATTGTTCAGCAATACACGCGATCCAACACGACTTCCAAGTTAAGTAAGCTCGACTCATGCAACTGCGGCCAGTCTAGGTGCCCTCGTGCCCACTGTTCGCGCGCTGTGTGGCAGCTGGACAACTTTTCGCAAGCCATATCCTGTCAGAAAATCTCGTCCTGCGCACTCCTTCCCTGCTCCAAACTCAATGTTCCGGTACGAAGGTTACGTTTAACGTTTGGGCTGATAAAACTGAAGGGTTTAGGGTTTGAGGTTTTGGGAAAACTGAAGGGGTTACACAGGAGATGAGGGCCAGGGAGTGTAGAGAGCTTCATGTATGATCTGAGGAACAACATTCAATCAATTTCAAATCACAGTTAGTGCCCTGCAGAACCAGCTCAGACATCATTGGCATGCTCTGGCCTGTGCCCGGCACCTGACCGCCTTGCCAGTTGTACCTCTAAACCCTAAACCCTAAACCCTAAATCCAAGGCATGCAACAACCCAAGCTCTGCCCTGCTTGCCTCGCCTGGTCAGGGCAGGAAGGGTTCAGCTCTGACGGAAAGCTGCACCTGGCGTTGCACCAGGGGGATTTGGGTCTGCAAGAAGTTTTTCTTTGTCCATGTCAGGGTTCGGGTAGTGAGGGCATCAGAGCCCACGTGTGACACTGAATGTTCGCACGGACGCAAGTACTCTGCAATGCCCATTTCGTTACACAGGCGTGGCAGTACGTGGCACGAAAGCTGTTCGAGCCAAACGCCTGGGAAAAAGCAGGCGAAGATAAGGGCATCGTTCCCAGAGTTCTTTGGGGCTTTGTGGACTCTACCCACATGCCCCCCCCTATACAGCCTATGCTCATCCCGATTTCGGCCCCTTCTTAGCTTCCCCTCTACCTCTGCTGGCTTAAGATGAAGCTTTGAGGCCTCAAGTCCAACCCTCGCAAGTTTGGGGCTTTCATGATTGCATCGGCCATGTGCAAAAACATCAGCACCAAATGCAAAGCTACCCCATCGTCCATCATGAGTCCGAGTACCTTTTGTATTCCAAACACTGAATGCCCAGCTCCACTCAGAGCTCTCAAGCGCGTCAACGCGGGACATAGCATCGCCGGGGTTTGGATATAAAGAGGCGGCATGGGGTCCAGAATCTAGGTATGTGCGGCATGACATGTTCGGTTCACTGGTGCGAGCGCTTGTCATGTCCCTTGAGTACAGCATGCTTTGGCTCCCACTGAGACCGTAGCTGACACCGCTCCGTGCGAAATTCGCTGCCCACTCGCGCTTGGCAGACTCACTGATTGCCAGGGCCTCGGCCTGTTGCACACGTTCATCATCAGAAGTATAGGCCCCCAGGCTCCCAGGGCAAGTGGTGACAGTACCTCTCTGAGAGCGCTCAGAAGCAACTCCACGTTCGCGAACAACCTGCAGAGGAAAGGCAACAGCTCATGCATGTGACTTGTTGCGCCCTTCTGGATGAAGAAGTTGAGGTGGCTTCGCTTGGAGAGTCCTAGCTTCCTGGAGGTTTTGAGCATGTTGCAACACTCGCAGCCCGAGGTCTTTAGGTCAAGTGAACACAAGAAGTAGGGTCTGGGCAAGTTTTTTTGCCACCCTCTCAGCTCTTCGCACGGCAGCTTCTAGATTCTAGTCCATCTACCTCCGTAGAGAAGCGGTGCGAAGATGGAGGTGTTTGATCAAGGTCTCCCTCGACGGCAGGCCGTGCGGCAGGCCTGGCATCTCTGATGTGGCCTTTCATCGCTGCGACCTCCGTCTGTTGCACATTTCGCTAAGATGCTGTTGCAGGTGCTTGATAGACGATGATGGAAGCAGGCCTGGCATCTCTGATGCGGTCTTTCACCGCTGCGACGTCTGCATGATCTTTTCCAAGATTGTGCTCCTTGATGTTCAACAGTCGATGCAACATTTCTAGCTCTCTGCTGTAATTCTTGATCTCGTGAAGAGCTGTTGCCAACTTGTCCAGTGCTCGTTCAACGCTCTCATGACTCTCACCAAACTTCAGCTCCCTCATGTTCAAGGAACGTTCCAGCTTCCTGACAGTTGCATGCGGCCCCTCTGCCGCATGGTCGTTCATGTCAGCTTCCATTGTCTGCATCAGTCTGCTACATTCCTCTTCATTGCCGAGTCTCCTGTGAACACTGGCCAACTGCTCCGTAGCCTGTTGCCTGGCTCCATCAACTTCGTCAAGGTATGACGAGGCCAGAAGGTGAGCAAGTTGTCTGAGCCGAAGCTCACTCTGGAACTGGACTCTGCGTTCCTTGAGTTCTTCCTCCATGAGCCCTGCCATGTCACTGATTCGTGTCACAGCGTCCCGTGCCATGATCTCGGCCTCGGCATCCTCAAACTCATCCTGGTTCCAAGCAGATTCACCTGGCACGATATCCAGTTCAGGGTTTATGATGTCTGCCGCGAAGGCTCGCCTGCAAAGCTCCGGCGTTTGCAAGATGTCTTTCCATGCAATGATTCGGTTCGGCTCTCGCCGGGTGTCGCTGCTGGGGATGAAAACGTGTAGCAACTCTTCTGCTATATAACCAAGTTCCCACCTGCAGGCCATGGAGCAAATGTACGCCACATTTAGCCGTAGAATGAGGATGCCAAAGTTAGTTTCACTGGCACATTTCCTGTATCCACGTGCTGGGTCTGCGAACCACCCTGGCAACCCATCGGAATCTCTTTGGAGTTGCCAAGCCTCTTCCTCGCCTACCAGAACCCCTGTCCTGCTGTGTGCCAAACTCAACGACCTATCAGTGCAGAATGTTACAGGGCGCCTTTCTTGTTTACCACGACTTTGGAGCCAAACATCGACCTTATCCAGAAAGAACAGGATCTCGTTGTCCTGTGATTTGTTGTCATAGGCAAAGGAGATGAGGAAGTCCGTGCCCTTAGCAGATGTCTTGGCCTCTACTTCGTCCCTGCTTTGCCAGCCTGTCGGCGAAGCAAACTTTCGGTGTCGTCCAAACTCTTCTAGCTGCTTCTCGCTCTCGGCCAGCTCGTCTGCCATGGCATAGTCGTCTTCGAAATCGGAGTGTCCTGCTCTCTCTGTCTCTCTGTGTCTGTGTCTGTGTGAGTGCGTGTGTGTGTGTGTGTGTGTGTGTGTGTGTGTGTGTGTGTGTGTGTGTGTGTGTGTGTGTGTGTGTGTGTGTGTGTGTGTGTGTGTGCGTGTGTGTGTGTGTGTGTGTGTGTGTGTGCGTGCGTGCGTGTGTGTGTGGGTGCGTGGTGTGCGTGGGTGCGGGTGTGCGTGGGTGCGTGGGTGCGTGGGTGCGCGGTGTGCGGTGTGCGGGTGTTGCGTGTGTGCGTGTGCGCGTGTCGCGTGTGCGCGTGTGCGCGTGTGCGCGTGTGCGTGTGCGTCGTGTGCGTTGCGTGTGCGTGTGCATGTGCGTGTGCGTGTGCGTGTGCGTGTGCGTGTGCGTGCGCGTGCGCGTGCGCGTGCGCGTGTGCGTGCGCGTGTGCGTGCGCGCGTGTGCGTGTGTTTCGTGTGCGTGTGTGCGTGCGTGTGTGCGTGTGCGTGCGTGTGCGTGCGTGTGCTGCGTGTGTGTGTGTGTGTGTGTGTGGTGTGTGTGTGTGTGTGTGCGTGTGTGTGCGTGTTTGTGCGTGTGTGTGTGCGTGTTTGTGCGTGTTTGTGCGTGTTTGTGCGCGTGTTTGTGCGTGTTTGTGCGTGTTTGTGCGTGTTTGTGCGTGTTTGTGCGTGTTTGTGCGTGTTTGTGCGTGTTTGTGCGTGTTTGTGCGTCCTTGTGCGTCCTTGTGCGTCCTTGTGCGTGTTTGTGCGTGTGCGTGTTTGTGCGGCCCCCCGCGTGCCGCCGGTGAACGGTTTTTTTTTTCGTGGTTTTTTGCGTTGCCACGGAGGCCCCCAGAGGGCGCGCATCATGAGCATCAGCGGGTCCAGCCCGGGACCCCCAGGCGCGCATCAGGAGCATCAGGCGGCTCCCGGGGCGGGACCCCGGGGGCGCATCAGGAGCATGACGCCCCCCAAAGGGCGGGCATAAGCGACGTGTCTAAGCCCGGGGCTAGGAAAAAGGGAGCTTAGGGGCCTTCTAAAGTGCTTAGAAACTTTAAGGGAGTCTAGGAGCCTCAAACGCTTAGAGATTTGAAGGGAGTTTAGGGGCCTGAAAATGCTTAGAAACTTTAAGGGGGTTGAGGAGCCTCAAACGCTTAGAGATTTTAAGGGAGTTTAGGGGCCTCAAAATGCTTAGAAACTGCTCGCCCCGCGCTTCTGCCTGCGCTGCCCGCCCATGGGCGCAGCCCCTTAAAATCCGGCCTGGCCGTCGTGGTCCAGTGCGGAGCACGGCTAGCCTAAAAAAGGCTTGCCTTTATGCGGGCGCCGCTAGTGCCGCCGACCCGCCCTGAAACTGGCATGTCTCCTTGCATGAGGCTCCGGGGGGAGCTCCGGGAGGGCTCTGAGCGGGGTCGCAAACGCGCATGCGTGGAAGTGCCGAAAACATCGTAAATACCATGTGTTTTTGCGTTTTTGGAGGGCCGCCAAACGCCCTGGAGGGCTCATGATGCGTGACCCGGCGCGCATCATCGACCCTGCTTTTTGACCTTGGGCGAACATGCGAAAAAAGACCTTATACCTCAAGTTTTGGGGGGGTACCCCCCCCAACAGGGGCGAGCATCATGAGCATCAGCGACCCGCCCCCGGGGCCACGGGAGGGCCCGGGCGCCTCAACAAAGCCAGAAAACACCGTAAATACCGTGTTTTTCGCGCGTTTCGACACACACCTCCTTTCGGGGGCACTGCCGCGCCTCCACGGTGAGCATCATTGACACCCGAGGCTTCGGGGGGGTCAGCCGACGCCCGCGATATGCACCCACGGGTGAGCATCATGAGCCCTTCATTTTTCCGGGCCCTCAAGTCCCGGCTCCGGAGCCTCGCTGATGCTCATGAGGGCCTCGCTGATGCTCATGATGCTCGCGGGGGGGGGGGGGTCCGAGGGACCGAAAACGTGGTAAATACCGTGTTTTTTGCGTGTTGCGCGAAAAACTGTTCAAAAACTCCTCGTTATGTGGCTGCCGTGTATGCACGCAGCGCCAACCGCGCCCACGTCGCGTGGGTTGGCGCTGCTCCAAGGACGGCTCCCCGAAGCCCTGGAAGAGTGGGGGTGGGCGAAAGGCATCCAAAAAAGGGTCTAGCGCTGATGCTCATGATGCTCGCGTGGGTGGGGGGGGGCAATGGGGGGTGCGGGAGGGTTTGGGGGGGGGGGGGGGGGGGGCCACCACAAAGCCGCTGAGGCAAATGATGCGTATGTTTTGCTGCGCCACGCACGCAGACGCACGCACGCACGCCAAGCACGCACGCTACGAACGCACGCACGCCACGCAACCGCACGCACGCACGCCACGCACGCACGCACGCACGCAAGCACGCACGAACGCCCGCACACACACACCCACGCACGCACGCACGCACGCACGCACGCACGCACGCACGCACGCACGCACGCAAGCACGAACGCACGCACGCACGCACGCACGCACGCACGCACGCACGCACGCACGCACGCACGCACGCACGCACGCACGCACGCACGCACGCACGCACGCACGCACGCACGCACGCACGCACGCACGAACGCACGCACGCACGCACGCACGCACGCACGCACGCACGCACGCACGCACGCACGCACGCACGCACGCACGCACGCACGCACGCACGCACGCACGCACGCACGCACGCACGCACGCACGCACGCACGCACGCACGCACGCACTCACGCACGCACGCACGCACGCACGCACGCACGCACGCACGCACGCACGCACGCACGCACGCACGCACGCACGCACGCACGCACGCACGCACGCGCGCGCGCGCGCGCGCGCGCGCGCGCGCGCGCGTTCGCGTTCTGCTTCCTGTTCGTTTGTTTTCTTCTTACTTGTCTTCTTCTTTGTTTTTCTTGTTTTTCTTCCTCTCTCTTCTTCTTCTTCTTCTTCTTCTTCTTCTTCTTCTTCTTCCGACTACACTAGGATAGACGCAGCACTCAAAAAAGCTTCATAACAACTTGGGGCATCCTTCAAATACGGAACTCACTCGGGTGCTTAGGCATAGCAATGCCTCGCAGGTGGCCCTCGAACGTGCGCAGCAGTTCTCGTGCCCAATCTGTGTGCATCACCAGCAACCCTCAGCGCCTTTGCCGGCCAACACTTCACGCGCCAAGGAGTTCAATGAGCGAGTAGGCCTAGACGTAAAATATCTCCCCGGGTGAAAACCAAGCCAGAAAGTGCCGCGCGTTAACCTGGTTGACTATGCCACCTCCTTCCAAGTGATGGTGCCCATTTTTCCGCAGAGAGACGGGCGAGCTGCCATGCGTGACCACTGGCTGTCGTGGGCAGGTCCGCCGGAGACGCTGGTTCTTGACCCGGCTCGCCCTAACTTAGGCGAGGTCTTTAACGACTTCTGTGATGGGCACGGGGTCAAGGTGGAACAAACGGCTGCGGAATCCCACTGGCAGCTAGGCAAAGTAGAGCGGCATGGCCAATGGTTTCAGCGTGTTTGGCCGTAATCCTCGGCGCCCCAGGATCTCCTCCAGGATGCACCCAGCCTTGCAGCCATTGATTCTGCTGAGACAGACACCGTGCTCCAGCGTGCCAATGCGGCGCGTGTCGCAGCGCGCAAGGCAATGCTTGAGTGCCAGGATGATCGCGCGCTGCGTGCGGCCCTGCGCGCGCCTCCGCGCGTACACCGGCCGTTTGCGTCGGGCGACTGGGTGTTCTACTGGCGTACTCAGAAGTCGGTTGACGGTTTAAGAATTGAGGGGGGGAGATGGTATGGTGCCGCTATGGTCTTGGGTCATGTGGGCAAAAACGTAATTGTTGCACATCGTAAGTCGCTTCTCCGGCGTGCGCCAGAACAACTGCGGCACGCGACCTCGGGAGAGTCAACTGTGGCCGAGTTCCCGCAGAATGAGTTGCTGGGCATCCGCAATTTGCTTGAGAAAGGACAGTTTCGAAAAGCCAGTTCCTTGACTTGGTGCCACAGTCCTTTCCTCCGACGCCGGCAGACGTGAGCATTGCAAAAGACGCGGAAGCGTCGCCGCGTTGAATGCTGCCCAGCGCCTCGCCGAAACTCGGCGCCATGAGCCTCAGCAGGCCGTGGAGCGGCCTCCAGCTGCAGACGAAGGCAGTCGCGAGACACCGTCGGTCATAGGTAGTGCCCCGTACGTTGGTTTAGAGACCCGTGAAGTTAGTGAGCTTGGTGAAGGGTATGGTCCAGTTAGGGTTACCCGTAGAGTGTCTAGCAAGCGTCCGCCAGTCGAACTGCACAGACCTTTGGAGACACAGGCTGACGAGTTCCTCGAACTAATGCAAGAAGTAGTTCCTAGGCTCATCACCCAAACGACTGCCTCACAAGCCCCTATTCCCGAACCGTCGGCTGCATCTGGTCTTGTTCGTCACCACCCTGACAGTCCAAGAGGGTCTAGTCAAAAGAGGGCAGCCAGTCAGGAACATCAAGAAGCCCCAGTGTCTGCAATCCCTAGAGCTTCCAATGCGCCTGAGCATGAAGGAGATGAAGCCCTTACGGTTGAGATAGATGGTCAGGGTTCACGTAGTAGGGTCGAAGTCCTGTTGGCAGCCTTCATGCACACGCGTATGCAAAAAGAGCTGCCTGCTACTGGCAACGATCCCAGCCTTCAGTCTCGAATCGATGAGGCCAAGGGGATTGAATGGGAGACAGTGACGGGTAAGAGTGCAGCCAGGGCGTGGACAGGCGCCAAAGCACGGGACATCAGGCAGAAACAAGCGCATCGATTTGTAGGCAGCCGCTTTGTGATCACAGAAAAGGTGGGTGAAGAGGGCACTAGGGTTAAGGCCAGGTGGCGTTTGCAGGGTCATTCTGATCCTGATTTCCGCGAAAAGATCTCATCAGGTTTGTGTCATAGTCCGACACTCAGCCACCTTGGAAGAGCAGTCCTGTTGCAGCTCTTGGTTTCCAACCACTGGACCATGCATCTCGGAGATATAAAAGGCGCATTTATGGAGGCGGGTCCATTCCGACCTTTATACGCGCATCAACCCCCTGGAGGCATTCCGGGCCTTCACCCGGACGACGTAGTAGAGATTACTGGCAACCTCTACGAAAGTAACGATGCGCCATTTCAGTGGTTCCGAACTTTTGACCAAGTAAGAGGCCAGGGCAGCAGGGTTCAAACCTAGCTCTTTCGACCGCTGTCTTTATTTCTTCCACGGCTCATCGGGTTCTCTTGACGGATCTTTAGGAGCCCACGTAGATGATACCATGACAGGGGGCCGTGGAGAAGAGTACGAGGCAGCAATCGCTCGTTTAAAGAAACGGTTTCCGTATAGAAAATGGCGAGTGGGCAATGGGGAGTTTTGCGGGGTAGTGTACAATCAGGACCCCACTAGTTTCGAAATTTCATACCAGCAGTCAGAGTACACCAAGCACTTGCGCCCCATAGCCATGACCAAAGAGCGTCGCCAGCAGCGAGAGGCTCCAGCCACAGATCGGGAGATCCAAGCCTTGAGGGCAGTGAATGGAGCAGCAAACTGGCTTGCAAGTCAGTCTCGCCCGGACTTGTCAGTACAGACTTCATTCTCGC